GGGAGCATCCTGAAGTTTAGCCTGGATTTATAGCAATAGGATCGGATAGATATAAGTGAACTCGACCTCATATCTTAATTCAGAATATTAACATTGAGTACATGGGCCATTTTAAATTATATATCTATCTTCTAGCCCAATTTTATTTAATATATGATTTTTCTCCATACCAATTAGCCAAATTCATCATGTACACTACTTGACATTTCAATAATATAATTTCCCCTTCTAGTGTGAGTCATCACCATTGATCATACAAACATGCCAAGTGTAAATTCATTATCCACATCGTAATCCATCTCACTCATATCGTATGAACCAAACCCAAAAGGTTAAACCATACTTTGAAGGAGAGAAAAAAAAAACAACACTCCAAAGATTCACTAATGATGTTTGATATGAAATGTTATTTTTCCCAATAATCAAGTTATAAGATATGTAGACATAAGCAAACTCGGCCATTTATGAATTATGAACGTCCTTGCAAAATAAATTAGTCAACATCAATGCTAAGCATATAAGCAGATAAAAATAAAAAATTGCATAACTATTCACATGACGAACACCACTACTTATTCTTGTAAATATTCCAGTTCAATTCTTGATGAAGAAGCAATTTCTAGACTTGTTCTTGTAAAGTTCATTGAGCTCAATGAGGGCACTTTTGTTTCTTGCAACCTTGACCATGATGGAGAGATTAGCCGAAGCTCTCTGATCTTCCAGAGGCACCAGAAAGCTTACGTCTTTCTTTGAGCTCTTACAAACGATAGTGATTTTCTCCATATTAGAAGCTCTGGTTATGAGGTGCTTCACAAAATCTGCCTCAAGTTGGTTTCCTGTAAATCCCATGATGGACACAAACTTGAGGGTTTGATGAACACAATGGCAAACATCACTTCTCTCCCAAAGCATCGGATAGTGCAGATCACCATTAAAGTCGAGCTTTGAACTTCTGTAAACCTATGGATATATATAATCACTGTTCTTAAGTATCGTGAAAAATTAAGAAATAATTAAACGGGCCCTTTGCCAAAATAAAATAGATAAAAATTAATGTAATGTCACTTACCGGAGTAATAATTTTCAGAGTTTCCAAATTAACACAGCATCTCAATATGAATGAAAGTGTCTTGTTGGCTCTTTTAATTTTCAAATCCAAGTCAACCATCAAGGATAATAGGGAAGCCCCAAAAACGTAGCTCGTTGGTGTTCCCTAATAAGTAACCCAAGGAACAAAAAAAAAAAAAAGAAGTCATAATATCATTGTAATAAATATTTATAGATTCAAATTAAACATGAACCAATAGATTCATCATCACAACCCCCAAGAGGTTTTCCTGAAAACAACTTACAGGAGGAATAATAGCTAAAGTCTCCAGAAACTCATGAGTTTTCCGAGCAAAATTTCCTCTGCGAATAACAAGTCCCTCGTGGGATATTGGTTTGTTGTGAGATTGAAACACCCGAAGCCTAGGAGCAATAATCACCAAGCTTGATGATTTTGGACAAGCCAAAGAAGAAAGATCTAAAACGTCGAGACTTGAAGCAGAAACAATAATCTGATATACACACAAAGCCCTAAGCTCCAAGAACTTGAGTTTCACATGGACAATCTTCATGTTCTTGAGGTTAGAACACCCCACAAGGCTAAGACTTTCCAAGTTGTAACACCTTCTAAGAATTGCATCTAGTGTCTCATCTTCCACAAAGACCATCTTCAGTTTCAAGGTTCTGAGATTTAAACAACCCCCAAAAGGTATTGAAGATTCTAGGTAGTAGTTCTCAACCTCAAGTGAAGACAAAGAGGAAAAGATCCCATAAGAACCTAACCCTAGAAAGCGTTGAATCTTTTCTCCTTTCAAGGGTTTACATTCAAGGCTTAGTTCATCGATCGTTGTCTGTCTTTCAAATAAAACAGCCAAGTTAATCTGGATGTCCTTCTGTGGAAAATGCGTGAACTTGCAGCTTTTGAGACCACCTAGGTGCTTATGCAAGAGCAAGAAGACAATTATGTTGTACCTGCGGATTCCTTCATATTTGGGAAGATTAAGGACGTAATGTAATTGAGCAGCAGGTGATGAAATTCGAAGCTGGGTTAAGGGCTTGATCATGTGCTTCACGTTGAAATCAAGATGTGGTGTGTTTTTCCACAGTGATACCCACCTCTTTGAAAGGATACTGCTTCTCACTGCCTCGTCAACTGGAAGAAGAGAGAGGATGGTCAATAGGATATCGTCAGGGAGATTACTGATAAAATCAGAATCTTTGAACTTGGCCTTCTTTTTTGATCCTAACATTTTCTTTTCTCTTCTCTTCTTTTCTTTCCTCTTCACTGTAAAATTAGGGTTGGAGAGAAAACTTATAGAGGAAGGGATTGGAGAGATGCATGTGAGGGAGAGAGGGAAGTTGGTGAGATTCCTGAGCGAGAAATAGCATAGAATGCATTCCATTATCATCCGCTCCAATTGTATGTGCCAACTTCAAACCTTTCCATTCTTACAGAACCATATTTAGAACTTTTATTTTCTTAACCATGTCGGATTGTATCGTGTACATTCATATATCTTATCATGAAACACTGCGATCCTTTGGTTCAGAAGAATTTGAAATTTTGAATACATTAGTTAAAAACATTAAGAATTAAAATCTAACTAATGGAGTACTACTTTATGGGGAGAGTTGTGGCTGTTTGTTTGGATTCATGAATTGGTGATACTGATCATCAACGACCCGTATACGTATGCGTATGTGTTTGATTGGCCTATTAGAAAAATAACTGTCAAATATCACCAATTCTCTAGTACAGTACAGTGATGATAAACTATGAACTTATGATTGCAACTTTCGGTCCTATGGAGATTCATTGGGAAGCAGGGGCGTTCACGGGGCGAGCCCATTTCAATTAATAGGGAGGGGATGGAATTTTCTTCCCGTCCAATTTTTTTTTTTTTTGTTTTTTTAAGGGAAAATTATTGTAGAGTTTCACAGAAAACATTTTACTACTAAAAGGTCCCATGAAATAACAAAACAAATCTAAAGTCCCTAAGGACCTAAGTGTGAATAATCTGAAATAATCAATTACGAATTTGCCCTTGATGACTAAAGGAAAAAAATTCACCCATTTGTTTGAATCCCACCCTCCTCTTTCGGCCCTCATCTCCTACTTCGTTGGCATCCTGCAACATGACCTCTCCACTGTTTTCACCAAGAGTCACGGTCGTCTTGGTCCTCTCATGACAATCAAGGTTTTCCTCAAGAAGCTATTCTCAAGGCTATTTCGGGTTTTTTATTTTATTGTTTTTTGTTGCAATTATTTAATTCATCAGATAGCAATTGATGCTCTGTTTTTCATGAAAATGATAGGCTTTTACTGTCATAACCCCCGTAATGTGATGCTTAAATTTACACTTTATCTATAAGGTCCACAAATATACACTTTAACCATCGTATTACAAGAGTTATGATAGTAAAAACCTGTCATTTTCATTCATTCTCATCAGAAACAGAGCATCAATTGCTATCTGATGAATTAAATAATTGCAACCAAAAACAATAAAATAAAAAAACCTGAAATGGTTTTAAGAACAACTTCTTGAGGAAGACCTTGATTGTCATGAGTGGACCAAGACGATCGTGACTCTTGGTGAGAACAGTAGAGAGGTCATGTTGCAGGATGCTGACGGAGTAGGAGATGAGGGCCAAAGGAGGAGGGTGGGATTCAAACAGATGGGTGATTTTTTTTTCTTTTTAGTCATTAAAGGCAAATTCATAATTAATCGTTTCAGATTATCCACACTTAGGTCCCTAAGGACTTCAGATTTGTTTTGTTATTTCATGGGACTTTTTAGTAGTAATTAAAATGTTTTTGTGAGACTCTATAGTAATTCTCCCTTTTTTTAACCATCGGACAATTTTTATGTCTTTTTTTATGTTGTAACAAAATTTTCTCCAGTTAAATACAGAGGCAACAAATTAACCTTGAAAATTAAGCCATAACAAAATAGAACCTCCAAAGAAAAAACAAGACGACCAGAAATTCGCCCAAATCTTTCAAAAACACTCAAGGATCTTGCAAGATCATCAAGTCGCTGCTCACATCATGAGCCTTTCGCGCGGGATAATATCAACAGAAAGCTATGGTTCCCTCTGAGATAGTGTATAATCTCTAGATCCCAACTGGACAAAACAAAAGATCGTAAATCGGCCATCTCATTTCTCAATTATCTACTGGCAGAAGATGAAGAATATTCAAAAGAATCTGTATAAATCTTAATACTACTTCTGTTCCTAATTATAAAATCTTATTTTTAGATTACAAAAAAAATCTTATAATTAGGACTGTATATAGTATTTTGAAGTTACATTGGAAACCAATCACCCAAACTCCATTATCATCTCTAATTGGGTCTCCACAAGTAACAAAATTTCTAATAGTGGGCTTTGTTCCTTTCTTCTTCTTTTTTTCCTGTCGTTCTGGGCAAAGTATAAGTATCATCTTATTAAAGGTAATATTATTTAAGACATTATCACAAATTAAATGTGAGTATTTCTTTTAGTAAAAATTTTAACTGTAATTTGTCACATTGTGATGGAATAGTTTTTTTTTATTAGACTCAATTTCCATGGACAATGGTTTTGTTCTTAGAATGATGAAAGTGGACATATCATATAACCTACCAGAAGCCCAAGGACAAAAACAACTCGGTCTGTTTGGCAAGCACCCCAAACCATGGTTTGGGGAAAATGCCAGCCAAACAGCCTCTGAAAAATATGAAACCATGGTTTGGGGGCAAACCATGGTTTTGAACCCCCAAACCATGGTTTTATCAGAAGCAACTCTAATCTGCTTCTTGGCTCGAGTTACTGAAAGCGCACGGTGGGGCCCTCAACAAATGACCAAATAGTCTCGTCTCCAATTATCAGAAGCAGTCGTCCAATGGTTCATTCCTCTCCTCAATTATCAGATGACCAAATAATTGCTCTTCCTCTCCTCTTTTGTGCTTTCTTCGTCGGTCCAGTGTTTCATTCCCCAATCATCCACGGTCTTCCTTTCCTCCTTCACAGAACGAGTCGCCGCCGCTGAAGAAGTCGCCGTCCAGCCACGGTTTGAAGGTGCCGGTGAGAGAAATCGCAGCTCCGGGGAAGAAGATCGCAGCTATTAGTTGTGAATTTCGGCGCTCAGGTTCGGTGTGAAGCATTCGGCGGTGGTCGGTGTTCCCTGGCTCAGATCCGGCGCTCAGGTAAGGTGGCTCAGATTCGACATTTTCTTCTTCTTCATGGCCTCGAAATAGTCCCTGCTCTTATCCTTTGCTACTCGATGCCTTGGGAGTTTTCATGCTCTTCTGTTAATTTCAGTGTCAATTAGCTCAATTTTCGTTTCTGTTCGCTCTATTTCTGGATATTCTTCGTTCTTTGTCTATTTCTGGACATTCTTCGTTGTTTATGCCTCATGTCTTTACTGCTGGGTCTTGCGACTTGAAGGGAATGACTCTGGGGTTTTCCTTACATTCGAGATTTCTTGCTTTAGTGTTTCCATTATGTTTCGAGTTGTAATAATCAGTAAAAACCATGGCTTTAGATGCTGAAATAAAACTTTTGTGCTGGAGCAGTACTGCAAGCCCTGTGCCTCACAGGATTCACATATAAGCTCAATTAATAATTCAGATTCTGCTATTTTGCTCAGAAACAAAGGAGAATTTGTTGGATTTTTGTCCATCATAATACATTCCCTTTAGGTTCAAAAGTTTACTATTTTTGGTGTACATGAATGTTAGGCTGGTGGATTGGACACGCTCACTCATAACAGCTTAGTAGCATATAGATCTGCAAATCAGCAGGCAGTGCAAATTCCATTTGCTCCAGTAAGACACATCCCTCCGGCGCCGGCCGTCCAAATCGCCGTCGTGGCTCAATAAGAAGCAAATCCATTTGAAGTGCAAATACCATTTGCTCCATCGAGCGACATCCCCCAAATGGCAGATATGGCTCAACCACAAGCGAACCCATTTGATCATTACACGCCCTATTATCAGTCTCATCAGCAACATGATGTGTGGATGAATCTAGCCAATCCCTTTGCTCATTGGGCGTATACTGGGAATCCTGTTTCACAACCACAGGTCATTCATGGAGCGTTTCATCAAGAAGCTAACATCAGCCGAAATTGGAAGCATCCTCCAAGGGAATAATCGGTATCGATATATATAATGCAGAAAATAGAAGCAGAGAGAAAGTAGTAATTAAAACATGCTGGAGTGAAAATAATACGCAGTAGTTCCTCCCCCCACCCCCCACCCCCCCAAAAATTGAAACTATTTTGATGTATAATGGCCATGGACCTTGATGAGAATGAACTATGTTGATGTATTGTGGATCCATAGAATGAATAATGGAATTATTCAGTGAATTGTCTCTGTTATTGGATTGTTGTGAACTTGCTGATTTGGGATTTGATTTTCTGAAGCACCAGAAACCCCGTCGTCATATGTATGAAAGTATTGATTTGGCAGGTTAAAATGATATGGTTCAAACTTTGTAAATCATTTAATTATATATTTTTATCTTTCTCTGTTATATATGAATAGATCATTTATATATTGGGCTCGGAGTTTTGTGTGCGTAAAATTTTATAAAGCACAAAACATAACAATAATATGATTATAGTACAAAATATAAATTAACAAAAAAATTTAAAAAAAATCTATGATTACATAAATTAACAATTAATTAATTAATTATATTAAACATCAAATGTTATTATACATGTAGTATGTTATTACAAAAAGTAGTTGTGAAAAAATGTTATGAAATTTCATGTTTAAAATCATTAAAGAAAATTAATATTTTTCTGTTAGCAAAAAAAATAATTCATTTTTCTATAAACATATTTAATATTATGTTATAAATATATATATACACATATTAATTATGTATTAATTATATTATCTTATATATTATTAATTATGTTAGTAAAAATTATTTCATTAACAATTTTATTTCTTCAAATCAAAATATATCATAAAATCTATCCCTTATATAATTATCATATTAACTTATACCCTTTTTGGTAATTTCCACATGTAAAAAGTGCTTCTAATAATAACTATCCAAACACTCTCACTTCTCAGAATCACTTTTTCACAGAATCTATTCTCCACAGAATCTATTCTCTACAGAATCTATTCTCCAGAAGCTATTTTCCAAACCACGGTTTGGTTTCATCCAAACACACCCTTGGTTATCTTTTTTCTTTTTTCTTTTTCCTTTTTTTCTAGGTGAGGATGAGGAGTTCTGTTTCTTAATATAAAAATTAGATAACTAATTTTATAATATTAAGATAGTTAGTTAAGTTAGTTATTTGTAATAAATAAATTTTTTTTTAAAATACCCTTATTAATTATGTGTATTGAAATAATTATTATAATCACCAGAGATTATTTAGAGAAAAATAGATAAATATTAGATTATGTCCTTAGACTTTTATATTTAAAACTAAATTGAATTTCTAATTAGCTCTTGTTAAGAACAAAAGGTAGTCCTAGACAACAATACTTCAAAAAGATAAACACACGCTACTTATTATGATTTTTTCTGACGAAATATTTTTATATTAATTCAATTTTTTTTAAAAAGAAAACTTAATATATTACCTGATTGCTGCAAATGCCTTTATATTACTTTGAAAACACAACCCATATCGGTAACTGTGTCCTAAAATTGTGAAAATTGATGTATCCACTGTTTTTTTTCCCATAGATGTACCCACCGTATTATACTATACCGTATCCGATATACATACCTCACGGTGCTTCTTAGAATTGGAATTCTTTATGCCACGTTTCAACCGGAAAAGAAAAAAGAAAAAAAAAACCTTCATATGTTTGTTCATTGTTGCTTTGTGAATTATTCAGCATATGTCTCTTTTGCCACACTTTCTTTTGTAGTCTTTTCATGTGTTCCTCTCTTGCATTTGGATTCTCTCCTAGGCTTCCTCTCCAATCCTTTTTAAATCTCAAGCAAAGTACTGTGCTTTATGAAAACAGTTTTTGAAATTTGAGCCTAAAATATACAAGTGTAGCACAAAAATGTTAAGGGAAAATGAAATTGAAAGGGCCTAATATTATAAACATTTCTCATAAAAAAAGATTATTTATAGTTAAAAACGATAATTTTAGATCTCTGAAGGGGGAAAAAAAGATCCTTAATTGAAATTAAAAATTTTAACTTTATTTTTTAAGCGCCTTACAATTTTTTTAGTACTCATCTTTCTATTGCAGTCACAACTTTCAATGAGAGAAATGACACAAGAAACTGAATGGACCCCTTTCCCCTTTTTAATGGTACCCAAACAGGTGCTCCTCCTTGGTGGTTTTTTTTTTTTTTTTTACTACTTATAATTTTAGTTGCATAAACCATTCAACACAGCTTTACGCTGGAGATCTTTGAAAAGAGATAGAGGGAGGCAAGAAAGAACTTAGGATAGGATCATGTGATCCTTGGTTATTGTAATTGTATTAATTTTAATTTAATTGCAAATTTTATTTTTCTTTTGCATTTTTTGTGGATTCCTCCTGCATTATTCTGTTCTTTAATATAAGTTACTTGTAACATATTCTCGCATATCTCTCTCTATTTACAAATTATTGTCATGTCTCTTTTTTTTTCCCAATAAAAATTAAATAAGAATAAAATTAAAAAGTAATTATTAAATATATTACAATTAGTTACATTTTCAGAGCCAAAATCAGCAAACCTTCAGAGAAACTAGTATATTATTGACAAAGAAAGAAAAGTGCTAAACTTGATTGGATAAGCTATGGGAAATTGAAATATGAACAGGCAGACGCTCGTGATAAAACTCAGTTGAGTACATATTTATACCTATAGCATATGGTAACAACTAAACGCTTAAGCTTGCACTTGTTTGTGATCCCACCTTCTATGCATAAATGCAGTTACCATAACCTGCAATTCCAAGATAACAATGAAAGGCATTAAAATCCCATTTCACAGATATATCCATCCTCCATAAAATCAAGCTAAAGAGATATAAACAGAGTGATGAAACCCAGGCAGGCCTCACCACCCTTGCAATCACTCTCAACAAAATACCCATTGAAACCTAAATGGATCTGGATTCTCCCAACATAAATAGTCATTTAAAGGGATAATGTTGCAATGTATATACATACATACAGAAAGAATTTATATCCAAATCTGAGGAAATGTGTAGGAGCATATAACTTACTTGGATCAGTGATGACCATGAGGCCAGAGCCTCTGAAGTCACAATTCCAGTGGTTTCTTCCCCTGGACTGAAAGTAGAGGTTCATGGCTATGGAGGCACGGTTGATGAGAGTATCAGGTGTGGAACAGGGACACCCTTTTTGCATAATCCGGCAATCAACTTGAGAGCAGGCATAATTGATATTCGCAAGAAGAGTAGCTTGGTCTGATGAAGGCCTTGCCACGCACCAAGTTCTCTGTTATTCCATCATACACACAACACAATCCTCAGCATTACTTACAATAGCATCCTGACTTGGAAAATAGACCCACTTCATCCGGAATTGTGATGAGATCAAGTATCTTTTCTCAACAGAATCCAGCTCTAATGGAAGGAATCGGAAGAAGGACAGAAGAAGGACCTTCTCCCCAACTCAGTTCACATGATCTTTCACAATTCATGTTACGAGATCCAAGATAATTTTTTCTTTTTTAAAAAAAAAATTGTTTCAATTTTCAGGCAACTTTGTATTTTAATTACAATTAGTCAATTACTTACCAGTCCATTGGCATTGGATGTCATCAGATTCCCCCCTGCAAGTGTGAAAAGAAAAATGACAAATGAGATCAGTCCATGGAAATGTAATAAGACAAGATGAATTCCCAGAATGATTTTAGGACCACTGTAAGGAGCGAAAAAGGAAAAGATCAGTTCTTCGCTTTTTATGGGAAGTCATGATATAATTAAGATGATACAACTCGATGCGATTTCACATATAAACGCAGAATTCGGGAAAAGAATTTCAATTTTGGGATTTAGAATCTGTGAGAATTATGAGATGCCAGCCAGCGTTAGATCCGACAACAAACACTAAATTGAAATCATTTTTGAGCAATGAAGCTCCTCAATTGAAGCAACCTAAACATGTTTTTAAGAAAATGGACTGGCAAAACTAAAGTCAAAAGGGCGAAATTCTGAAGAAAAGTGATCCAATTATTACAACAAACGCATCACAGACTCACAATACACGAACTGATTTCGAAGCCAAGTGGAAAAAAGTAAAGGTACATTGAAAGGCATAAAGGAGTTAACAAAAAGAGTCGAACCTGAGGTGAGAAACAAAAGCAGAATGTAAAAGAGAACGCCGACTTTAGCCATGGTTGAGCTGAATCGACGCAAGTACTGATACTGATGAGTGTTTGATGATTAAAGAGGAGAATGATGAAGAGAGAGAAGAAGTGAGCTAGAGGGGTTGATTGGGGAAAGAGAGAGAGATGGGGAGGATTATAAAGGAATGGAGGAGGAGCTGAAGTTGAAGGGGTCAACATAACGGCTACAATAACAGTAAAAGGAAAACAGAGACGTTGGGGAGGTACGGGATCTCGGGGAAGAAGAAGCAATAAACAAAACGTTCCTGTGAAAAATGGGCCCACGGGAGGAGGCGCGCACGTGATGTGACGTGGGGATCAGTGACGGCGTCGTTTTGCTCCTCTCTTACCCGGTTTCGACTTTTGGTGGTCATCTTGGGCCTTATAATGGGCTTCTGGTGGGTTAAATCAAGACGTGAACCTTTAATAAGAAAGGTGTCTACATTTAGTACTCGACAGTGTCTTAAATAGGATTGTCTTTAATAAGAGAATACTTATGTTTTAGGAAAAAAGTTTCATCCTTCTATTTTATAAAAAAAAAAAAAAATTCATCATTCTAAGCACAAAGCCCACATAACTTGTGAATAACTAATTTTATCATACTCCTCTTATAAAGACTAACTTTGTAGTGAAATTTACACTATAAAGTTAGTCTTGTATTTAGGATCGGAATATCAATATCATCAGTCATTATTTATTCAATATATAAATAAAATACCAATGAGGTTAGGTCTAACAAAAGAACTATCCATAAATCAAGTTTCAAATCCTTATATTTGGGCATTTAGCATTTAGTTCCTGACAATGGATGGAAAGTGCAAGTCAGAAGCTATTTGCTGAAGCATACTCTTTGACAATGGAAACTGAGTAGTCCTCTTAGCATATTTTACAACCTGTCCATCCACGACCAGCAGTGCGGTGCCATGTTAGTCTACACATTCTGACTTTGCACCTTCATGGACCCCTTCTTGCACTTCATCTTCAACCTTAAGACCCACCTTGCTTTCCCCATTGAGTTGACCTACTAGTGGACATGAGTTCGAGAAGATCGATTTCATGCCTTGATCAGTCACCGTCGTCTTACACGTTGTTCTGATTGGTCACCCGCTCTTGTCGCTGAAAAGTAAAATCCTGATTGCAAATTTCAACGTCTACTTGTTTCATATGAGTATGCCCTGAATTTTCTTACAATCAGAGCAAGCTCTCACTTACCACCCCAATAATAATATTCCTTCATTGTTATCTTGACACAGTCAACGATAGAAACTGTAAATCAGGTATTATTCCTAAACCATCTGATGATCAATCTAGAGGGGGAGAAATTGATTTTCCAGAGAGTTGGTTTGCCTTTAATGGGAATAATAGAAGTTGTGATTCTACTGATATGGCTAAAGGTTCCGGTGGCTGTCCTAAATCAGCCACCCAAGGGCCATGAGTATACTCGCTTGGAACTACCAAGGGCTGGGGGTACCTTTGGCAGTTAAAAGCCTCAAAGAAGAGGTAAAGAAAAATAAACCTCAGATAGTTTTCTTAATGGAAACTAAGAAAAAAGAAAAATATTTGGAGCCTATTAGAAGAGAATGTCACTTTGATGAAAATTGGTATGTCCCCCCCATTGGTAAATCTGGAGGGCTGGCCCTCTGGTGGATTGACTCAGTTGTAATTAACATTTTGAGTAGTTCTAAAAATATAATCCATACTTCTATCTGCTCTACTAAGTGTGATTTACCGAAGCATGTTTCTTTTATTTATAGGCCACCAAAAGAATGTGACCGGCTAAGAGTATGGGACAAGGTGCGTAATATAGCAGGAGGTATTACAAACTCTTGGCTCTACTTAGGCGACTTCAATGATCTTCTATCTCAACAGGAGAAACAAGGAGGTAACCTACACACTATCAGAAGAGTGCTTAATTTTCAACAATTTGTCTCTGACTATGAGCTAATGGGTATTGAAGCTAAAGGTGCAAGATTCACTTGGTGTAATCAAAGAATTGGCGGTAACCATGTTAAAGAAAGATTAGATCGTGCTCTCTGTAATGGTGAGTTTAAAGAAGCTTTTCCAAAAGCCCTTGCTTTTCACCTAGAACCTGTTGCCTCTAATCATCATATGCTTCTAGTGGTTCTTTGATATGTAGATATTAGGACTCCAAAAGCCTTCGAATTTGAGGCTGTCTGGGCTTCTCATCCAGAGTTCGTGGATATAATAAAAGATTGTTGGCAGATAGAAGATGTTGAGGGATCTAATGGGGTGGTATCTTTTATTAACTGTCTTAACAGTTGCAGAGTTAAACTTATTAAATGGAGCAAAGAGAAGTTTCCAAACAATAGGAAACTTATTGCCAATTTGATAGCAAAAATTGAAGATCTAAAGGCTGAAGTTTATACAGCTGAATCAAAGTGTAATATTGAGCGTTTGACCTCTGAGTTAGAATCAGTGTGGCAAAGGGAAGAAGTTTATTGGTGGCAAAGAAGTAGATCTAATTGGCTGTAAGCTGGTGATTCAAACACTAAATTCTTCCATAGAACTACTGTGGTTCGAAGGCAACAGAATTTAATTGTTAAGCTGAAAGACAATCTGGATAACTGGATTGAGAAAGAAGATGAAATAGAGAGTTTAATTGCAGATTTCTACTCTTCTCTCTTTACCAGCAGCCCCCAAGGCCACTTTGATACAGTCATCTATTACATTCAACCAAGAATCTCAGATTTCCAGAATCAATTGCTAACTCAGCCTATCTCAAAAATAGAGGTGAAAGAGGCTACTTTCCAGCTTGGAGCTTTTAAGGCACCGGGCCCTGATGGATTCAATGGTCACTTTTACCATGTTTTCTGGAATGAGGTTAGAGTTTCTCTTCTCAAAATGGCTAGAAGTTTCTTTAAAAATGGTGATTTTGTGGGTCCTTTAAATGAAACAAACTTGATCTTAATACCCAAAGTTGATGTTCCTAAAATGGTCTCTCAATTTAGACCAATTAGCTTATGTAATTTTGCTTATAAAATCATTGCTAAAGTTCTGGCTAATAGACTGAGAGTGGTTTTGGATAGTTGTATTTCTGAGCACCAAAGGGCTTTTGTCCCTAATAGACTTATCCAAGATAATAGTATAATTGTCCATGAAGCATTCTATTATCTGAAAAATAAGAATTTCGGAGATAAATTTGAATTGGCTTTGAAGATGGACATGAATAAAGCCTATGATAGGTTGGAATGGAATTTTATTGAAGAGGTTATGCTAAAGAGGAATTTCTACTCTAAATGGGTTAACTGGATCATGAATTGTGTTCGTAGTGTAAAGTTTAATATCCAAATGTCAGGGAGAAAGATTGCTTCTGTTATTCCTCAGAGGGGTCTTAGACAGGGAGATCCTCTCTCTCCTTATCTGTTCATTTTGGCTTCTAAAGCTCTTTTCTCTATGATATCCTTCCATTCTAGCCATGGCAACTTATCTGGAATCAACATTACTAAAGGTGGCCCGATGATCACTCATAGTTTGTTTGCTGATGATACTATCATCTTTCTAAAGGCTAACTTAGATAATTGTAGCCTATTTATGAAATTGTTGCAGGATTATTGTAATGTTTCGGGACAGAGGGTGAATTATGATAAATCTAGCCTTTTCTTCTCAAAGAACACTCCGAATGAAGTGAGGACTAATATTGTGGAATGTTTGAATATTGCTGAGGTGGACAACCCAGGTAAATACCTAGGTTTACCTATCCTTTGGGGTAAATCTAAAAATGCTGCTTTAGCCTATGTCTGTGAGAGGATGGGTAGGAAAGTGCAAGGATGGAGGAAGAAATGCTTATCTTTTGCTGGCCATGGTAATAAGTGCTATTCCTATACCCAATGTCCTGTTTCAAATTTCCAAAAAAATCTTGTAATGCTTTGGATAGTTTGGTGTCTAATTTCTTTTGGGGTGATGTGGACGGTACTGGTAGAATCCACTGGACATCCTGGAAAGCTTTAACCAAATCTAAAAAGGAAGGAGGATTGGGCTTTAAAGACTTTATGGGTTTCAATAATGCTTTACTTGCCAAAACTGCATGGCGTATTTTGCATAATCCTGACAGTCTCTGGGTTAGATTACTGAAGAGCATTTATTTTCCCAACTCCTCATTCATGAAAGCAATGAAAGGATCCAAGGCCTCATGGGTCTGGGATAGTATTCTTGTAGGGTGTGAATTCTTAAAAGAAAATCTGTGTTGGCAGGTTGGTACTAGGCATTATATTGATGTTTGGAAAGACCCTTGGATTCCTGGTATGAAAAAATTTAAAATGCCACTGGATAATGCTCCTTCTATCAATGAAGATATGGTGGTTGCTCAGCTGATTCAAGATAGACAATGGAATCTTCATGCTATCTCCAATCTAGTGGAAGAATCTGTTCTTAAATGTATTCGTGAGATTCCCCTATCTAGTACCCCTCGAGATGATTCTTTATTATGGGCCCCTGCTAAGAATGGAATTTACAATGTCAGGGCTGGTTACAAATTGAGCCATGCTGCTACTAATGGCAGAATTATGGCTACTCGAGCTTCTGTCTCCAGGAAAGTAGAGCCAAGTATATGGTCAGCTGTATGGAAACTGAAAGTCATTCCAAAAATCAGAAGCTTTATCTGGAGAATCCTTAATAATGCTTTGGCCTCTAAGGATGCTTTATTCAAACGGAAATGTGCCACAAACCCAGTCTGTCCAGTTTGTGGAGATGATACTGAGACTTTAGAACACTTTTTTCTGCTTTGTGAATGGGTTAAAGTTGCTTGGCTTGGTAGTGTTATGGGCCTCAATATTTCCCCTCTGAACATCCAGAATATCTCTTTCTGGCTTGAGCAGTTTCTATTGATGATCGATACTGAGTTAGACTATGGTAAAGCATATATAAGCACTATGCTGTGGTCTATTTGGAAATTACGTTGTAAATGGATTTTTGAACAGGTTCTCCCAAAACCAGAAGAAACCATCGAGATGACTAATCGAACTATGCAAGAATACTGGAATGCAAACTCCCTGCTCCCTAAAGTACCTAGCTATGTGATGCCCAAAGCTTCCTTTAAGTGGAGGAAACCACAAGCTAACTCATTCAAGATAAATTGTGATGATGCTTTTAATAATTCTAATGGAAGAGCTGGTATAGGAGTTGTTTGTAGAAATTCTGAGGGGTTATTCATTAAAGGCTGGGCTGAGAAAGTAAGTGCTCAATCGGCATTCCAAGTAGAACTCTTAGCTGCTCTAAAGGTTGTCTCTCTAGCAACTCAATGGCAACACTTCCCGGTGATTATTGAAATGGATTGTAAGGATCTTTTCTCTGCTATTACTCAAAAATATTTGCTTCTTTGTCCGTGGCTACTCCAAGGCTTGCTTGCTAAGTTGTTTGCAATGGTGAATGATCGAAGTTCTATTTGCTTCTCTCTCATTCCTCGTGAGGGAAATGCTGCTGCCGATTTCCTGGCTGCTATAGCTTCAAAGGAGTTGGGACCTAACAGTCTAATCTTGGTATCTCCACCTCCTCTAGCTGATATCATTTTTCATGAAGCCACTGTTGCTAATGAATTCAGTTTTGACCAGCACGTTGAAGAGAATGACAGGGAAGGGACCAGTTGATTTGCTTTTGACCTGTTAGCTTGTCATTTGGTTTCTTTTCCCTTTATCTTTTGTAGTGAACTATTTCTCCTGGCTCGTTTCAGTTAATGTGATTCCTTTGCTGGTAAAAAAAAAAAGTCAACGATAGAAACTAGAAGAGATTATACTTAGAAGAAGCAAAATTATACACATATATATTATGTGTGTATTTGTATTTATCACCTCTGTATTGCTTGCATAAACATATATAATATTTTAATTGATTTGGCACCTAGATCATTTTAAGGTAAACGTCAAAATTTATATCCCTGATCCTCTACATTTATGCCTTTGTGTACGTACATACGCACAAGAATTTGATTGTGAATGAGGTCTATACATTTTATCATAACACCTTTAGTTATATTTAAATACACAATATATATATACATTCATTCTTATTTAAATACACCTTTAGGTATATACATTCATTCATGAATGTTAATTAATTAGTTAGGATATTAATTGGATAAAAAACTTTGGTGGTTCTAACTTTTTAGTCATTGAGCAAATAATAACTGGAGTCACACACACACACACACACACATATACATATATATGCAGTAAGTGACTGAATGGACCATTTGAATGAGGGTACGTGAACATCAAAGGTGAATTTGAATTGAGTTTTCACACAATTAAGTATGCTATATAACAAGAGGAAAAATTGATCTGCAAGTTTTTATAATTTTATCCGGGTTATAATCACGCCTCTATCATTTTTTTCTTTCTTTATATCATGTATTGTTAATTTCATTTGACTTTAATTTTAATCTGGCCTCTATAGTAAAAATCAGGTGAAGCAATAAGAATATGACACAAAAAGAAGTACGAAAACCTGATTAAAATCCTATAGAACTATGTGGACTTGCAGATTGACTCTCTTTTAAGAAAAATCTCTCTCTCTCTCTCTCTCTCTCTCACACACACACACATACCGGTGACGAAGATTAATGAACATCTTAATGTCTGAAATTGAATCCAAATCTATATAAACCAACTACCTGCTAAATTAATCTCACCAAAATGGCCCCATCTGCTAAACTTAATTATATTCTCCCTTTCAGAATCTTCATCCTTTCAAGTTCTTTCACAATATTCCTCGCCAAGGCAACAAAACTTGGTTTCACAGTCGACCTCATGCACCGTGATTCCCCACTATCTCCATTGTTCGATAAATCCACAACACCATGCCGGAAAATTCACAATGCTCTGCGTCGATCTGCCCAGAGCCTGAGCTACTTCTTCCCCAACAACAACAGTAATATTACTGATGCAGAAACAAACGAAGAAGATGATCCTGAATCTGACAGTGCTGTATTTTGAATAGAATACTTAACGACGTATTCATTGGGAACCCCAGAATTCGAAACTCGTGGGTTTGTTGATTCAGGCAGTGACCTTGTTTGGTTACAGTGTTTGCCATGTGAATCTTGTTACCCACAAGACATTGATAACTTTGATCCATTAAATTCATCTTCTCATGTAAACGTTAGATGTCCTTCCCAACGATGAGAATCTGCGGTACTTTCGGTGTCCAATATCACTTGTGACTCTGATTTTTGCAAATACAAACAAACATATATCGTGATCGGATTTCAGTTTCGATGGGAAGCATTGGTTATAATACACTCACACTCGGGTCTTACAGTGGTGGGAAAGTGAGATTTCCGAGGTTTATGTTTGGATGTGGGTATAACAATAAGGGGAGATTTTCTCGTCAGACTTCTGGCATCGTTGGACTTGGAAGAGGTCTATTACCATTAGTCTCACAGCTCAATTCTTCCATTGAAAGCCGATTCTCGCACTGTTTAGTTCCTTCGCATGAGGCTTATTCTGGCAAACTGAGATTTAGTTAGAAGGCTGTGGCTTCTGGAAATGAAGTTGTTTCTACCCCTTTGCTACCGGGATTTCCCCCAAATCTCGATTACCTTACGTTGGAAGCAATGAGTGTGGGAGACAAAAGAATAGGGTTGACAACAGATGATGATTTAATTCAACATTGAAAAAAATTAACACATAGCTACTTATAATTTTACCTGACTTTTAACCAAAATTTTAAAGTTTGTTTTCCTTCTCTTACTGACTTTTTATGGTTTCTTCAAAGGTATCAGTCCCTTTGTTTATTATATGTTAATTATGGCTGATGTGGATATTGATTAAAGGACATGTAAGTTGCCACAAAATACAAAATAAAAAAGAGATTTTTTAACCCATTGTACCATAAGTTTAGAAGTCAAAGGGTTGTTACTCTCACTAAAAGGAAGGTACTCGATTCCTGAGATGGTCGCAGCACTTTGAAAGACATATCCACAACCAGACAAAGCATATAATTTCGAGCTAATTCCAATGTGGTTAATGCTCTACCGCAGCCAATGACCCAAATGGGTAGTGTGTGATCGACAGGTGACTGCGTTGTGTGTGATTGGCTAGTTTTCCTGCCCTTAGCTTATGACTGAGCCCAGTCTCTTGCCTAAAATTTTATCACCAAAAAAGAGATTTTTAAAAAAAAATAAAATGATGGAAAAATTATTTATTATCCACAGAATAAGAAATTTATTATGCCCATAATCATATCATTGCACTGTTACATAATCTTTAATTTAGTTATTTGTGATTTTATATAGAAATATGTGACAATTAATCCAGTCGTATGTTGAGAGTCACCTCATTAACTACAAATGTGTTTCTCTTACAAAGGAACAAATCAGATAAAACTACAAGAACTGATCTACAGATTACTTTCCCTTAATATTATTCTTAGGTTTAATAATTTGATAGTGTAGTTTTCCTTGCTGCAGGTTTAGTACTTTAATTTCAAGCTCAGTTCTTTACAACATTAATGTTCATACTAACTACTATATTTTGCTATATGTATATATGGAGTGAAGCAAGGGAATATATTCATAGATTCAGCTGGAACAACAATGACTTTCTTGCCACTAGATTTGTACGTTGAACTGGAAGCAGAGGTCAAGTGTTGGGCTTGAGATTAAACCGGGCTCAGGACCCGTCCGGTTTTCTAGAGATGTGCTATGAAGCTAACCGGGTTGAGGATGTCGGAGCTCCGGCCATTACGGTCCATTTTAGAGATGCAGATCTGAAGTTAGAGGCGCCAAGCACGTTCGCAATGACCTTCACCAGAGTCTTGCGTCCTTCAAACCAGCAGATTGTACCAAGCTGATCTGATATCCATATCATAAGGACTTGATTTATCAATAATTACTTATCCTTCTTTATGCCTATTTAGTACTCATTATAATAACCAGCTCGCTCATTGTTGTAATAAAATCTAGACAATTCAAAATCTAATTTGTAAAGTTCAAATTTAAAATTTTTCATATGTGGTTTTTCAATAATAATTTTTTTTGAAAGAAATATGAGTTATAAGATTATTCTTATTTTAAATTCTGCATACCTTAAAATAAAAATTGTTTATTACAAAAATAAATTGAATTCGGTCATTCAAAATTAATATAAATAGTTTAGGTTAAGATGAGCATTTTACACTCATCTTTTGTTCTTTTTAAAAAGGGATAATTAATCCGCAACTTTTTATAGTTTTAACTAATTTTGAATCAGGTCCTCATAGTTTTTTTTCTTTTCATTAGATCCTTATACTTTCACATGTTTTTAATTAGGTCCTTGTATTTATTTTTCTTTTTATCAAGTTCTTATGGTTCACTTTATTTTTAATTAAGTCCCTGAATTTTTTATTCTTTATTTTATAAATTCTAATAGTACTATTATATAAACATAAAATAGTATATATTATTTAATATTAGTTTATAAACAATAATATTCTAAAGATATTGAATTATTATAATGATTTTAATTTTTTCAGCAAAAAATTAATTGTTCTAAAAAATTTTCCTGAATTAATTAATTCTATTACTTTTTATTACATAATTATTAATTTAATTTAATTATTAATATTTTATATTTCAGTATTAATCTATTTAATTAAGCTTATATTTAATTAATAAATAAAAATTAAAACTACATGGACCTGATTAAAAATTTAGTGAAATTATAAGGACTTAATTAAAAGAAAAATAAATACAAGGACCTAATTAAAAAAAGGTAAAAGTATAAGGACTTGATAAAAAGAAAAAAAACTATAGGGACCTGATTCAAAATTTCTTAAAACTATAAGGACTTGCGGATTAATTAATCCTTTTAAAAAAATGATTTTTTTTTTCATTTAACCACTAATTGAAAATTTTGAATCAGGATCCTTGAAATCGTATTTGGATGATATATAGCAGCATTTCATTACAGCAATGAACACTATCAGTGCCATAAGCATCGAAAACTGTATCTTCAGTCTTAATTTGAATTTATTCCATAGTTTCTATATAAAACAAAACACCTTGGGGATGTATATATAATAAATTATCCTCCCCTCTCAACTATCTCCAAAAGTCACCACAATGGCCTTATCATCCAAACCCTATACTCTCTCTTTCACAATCTGTATCATCTTCTTTATATTTTACGCCAAGGCAACCAAACTTGGTTTCACAGTGGACCTCATTCACCGTGATTCCCCACTTTCTCCTTTGTTCGATAACTCCACAACACGATTCCAGAAAATTCACAACGCTTTACGTCGATCCACCAAGCGTTTGAATCATTTCTTCCCCGGTAATAACAATAATCCTACTGCAGAAACCAACCAAGAAGACGATCCTCTATCTGAACTTACTACCAGTGAAGGTGAATACTTAATGGCATATTCACTAGGAAACCCAGAATTTCAAACTCGGGCTTTCATTGACACAGGCAGTGATCTTCTCTGGTTACAGTGTTTTCCCTGTAAATCTTGTTACCCACAGAACACTCCTAAATTGGAACCCTTACTTTCTTCCACTCATATAAACGTGGATTGCAATTCACAAAGATGCAAATCTGCCGGCGAATCAGTGACCAGACGTTCCTGTGATGGCTCTAATATGTGCCAATATGAACAAATATATGGAGGTGGGTCTTTTTCAGCGGGAAGTATCAGATCTGACACACTCACACTTGGATCTTCAAGTGGTGGGAAAGTGAAGTTTCCTAGGTTCATATTTGGATGTGGGCATAATAATAGTAAGTTTTCTCGTGGGACTTCTGGTGTTGTTGGTCTTGGAAGAGGTCCGTTATCGTTAGCCTCACAGTTAAGTAATTCCATTGAAGGAAGATTCTCGTACTGTTTGGTTCCTTCGTTTGAGGCTTCTCCTGGTAAACTGAAATTTGGTGAGAATGCTGTCGTTTCTGGATCTGATGTTGTCTCTACTCCTATGGTCTCAAAATCGCCACCAAATTACTATTACCTCACGTTGGAAGCAATGAGTGTGGGAAACAAGAGAATAGGGTTGACACCAGGTAATGATTTAATTTAATATTCTTGCGTTTTGTCTAATGCTAATTTTCATCTTGAATGGGCAAAATTGCATTTGTCCAACTTTAGATTTTACATAAGGATTCATTTTGGTCCTTTTAATTTTAGGAAGTGTTTTTTCTTTCAGATCTTTAATCTTAATATGTTTAGTTTCATTTTATTGACATTAAAATTTCACATCAAGTTTTATTTTAATCTTTTAAATTTAAAAAGTGTATTTTCAATCTATGAATTGTAACGTCATTAATTTTATTTGATAAAAATGTCAATTTAGTATATTCAAATGGTGATTCTATAAATAAATGTTGACAAATCATGCTCTAAATTAATTCTTTAATTAATATAATCATTTTTATATATTAAAATTTAAATTTTTTTAAAGAATAAGATATCTTATTATAAAAATGATTATATTAAAAAATTAAAATTTAGATCATTCTTTATCAACATTCAATTCTAGAGAAACCATTTTCAAGTTGTTGTGTTGGCAATTTTTTAGATACTTGGATGAGACTAATGGTACTAAATTATAGGACTAAAAATACATTTTATATACTTAAGGGCTAAATTAAAACTTGTCATAAACTTGGGGAATAAAAAGTATATTATTTTGGAAAATTTTCAATTGTTGACATATTAATATATATAAATGCTAGCAAATCAAATTTAATTTTTTAAAATAACAATGACAACTTTGGCGAGAAAATCATTCTTTGAGACTAATAGCATTAAGGTCAGAGAATTTAAAAGATACTCTATAAAATTTAAGAATCAAACTGAAATATTGTATAAACCTTTTTTTTGAGCTGAGAAATATTGTATAAAGCTAAAAGATGAAATGTAGACTTTTGTCAGTTTAATGCGCTAAATCACTAATGTTTATACCTTGTTGATATATTATACGATGCAGTGGTGGAGGGCAATGTAATCATAGATTCTGGGACAACATTGACATTCTTGCCACAATATTTCTACAACAAATTGGAAGCAGAGGTTTCAGCAGTGATGGACCGAACAGCAAAGCGTGTTAAGGACCCATTTGGTAAGTTAAAGCTTTGTTATGAGACACGAGGGGCTGAGGACATTGGAGCTCCCGCCATTACTGTTCATTTCAAGGGTGCAGATGTGAAGTTATTTGAACTCAACACATTCATTTTGGTGGAAGAGGAAGTGGAATGCTTTGCTTTCATGGGTGCTTCTTCCGGACCATTTGTTTTTGGGAACTTGGCTCAGTTGAATTGGTTGGTGGGTTATGATCTTGAGGAGGCTCTTGTTTCCTTCAAGCCTGCAGATTGTACCAAGCTCTAATTAAGGATTAGTTATATTATATATTTACACTTTGAATAAAGGTTTAATATAATCTTAGGGTCATTAAGAAATGATGAATATGAGAGGAAACCAATTTCGATGTTCATCATAGGGATATAAACACTATGAAACGATGAATATGAGAGGACACCAATTTAGATGTTCATTATAGTGATATAAACACTGCGATGCTCATTATTGTGGTAAGGTGTGCGCAGTTCTAAATATAGTTGCAATTGTTTATATTTAACATTTTTCATCCAATAGTTCATAAATAGATATTTTTTTTAAAAAAATTGACAGTTAAGAAATAATTTTTACTTCAAATTCTGGACATATTAAAATATTAAAAATATAAAAATATAATTATGTTAAATTTGGATCATCTAATTTTGTTATGAATTGTCTAGATTTGATGATCATCATGATGAGCACCCAAATTAAATCCTGGAAAAGAACTAGTCTTGGCTGATTCTAAATCTGCGACTCAAGAACAGCTCAAGTTTTCTTTGTTTTTTTTTTTTTTTTGTGAGAAGCAGAGTCAAGCATTCATTTTTAGGAGGATGACAAAAAAAAAAAGAACTTAGAAATTGCATAATCCCAAATGAGAAATTTCTACAAAAATATGTTATTATTTCTAAGCCACGTGGTGTTAAAACCAAAATCTTACAAAAATTTGTTGTTATTTTTCAGTGAATTTTTATCGAAATTTATTAAAATATACTTAATTTAAGAATTAGTAATTTTCAGGTTTCTTTTTGGTCATTTTCCTTTCGTTTTTCCCTGATAAAAAGTTTTTTTTTTTTGGTGACAACCATCAGCTAGATGATACTGCCAATACTAATTCAGATCTAATCACTACAACAAGAAGTTTTATTTTTCAAAATAAGGTGAACTATACGAATCACGCAATGTTGGTGTATTTTATTTAGGTTATATTCAATTATTTTTCCCTAATTTTTTCTTGACATCACGCCCAGCGATTATTAGCCAATTAATAATTATACGCACAACTAATGAAATTAAATCATGCACCAAGTGTTGCCGAAAACTATGCAGAAGCTCTCGCCTTAAATTTTCAAAGTCCAAATCCTTGCATTATTATTGCAGGCCAAAAAAAAAAATCCTCGCATTATTATTACAGGCCGAAAACAAATATATCGTCATTATTTCATAATTAAGTTCTTTCATAATTATTTATTCCATTTGGTCAAATGTTTAATTTAAAGAAAAGATTGCAAGGTGTTTTTCATTCATCCTATGCTAACAAGGACCAGATTTCAAACTGCAGTACACATGCGTGAATGTAAGTTACGTTCATGAAAAGAAGTTTATAAGGCAGTAAGGCACCAATGGGGTCGGGTCTAACAGGAAGAACTAGTTACTTAAAACTTAGCAAACCAAGATGTTTCCATTAAGTAAAATATCTACATTTAATACTAGATACTCTTCTAATTCTAAATATAAGACCTATTTTATAGTGTAATTTATATTACAAAATAGGTCTTGAGGACCGGAAGAGTAGTACATTTAACATGCTAACAAAATTACAAAAATAATGCACCATATTCCAGCTATAGACATTCATTACAATGATGTTATATTTGAAATTATTTGATATAATTGGAAACAACTATTCTAACGTGATTTTATTCTATATATCCGTCGATAAGGTCCGAATCCTTAATTTTTCTTAGGGAAAATCAAGTTGCAACGCGAATTTTGGTTATTCCACTCCATTGAATATTTGATTACTTGCATATGTTTGATAAAAGCAGTAATAAAAATATTTAATTTTAATTTATTTAATACAAATATACTCATACTTCATTCTATTCTTATCAATCACTTGAACTAATCTCGAATGGTACATTGGCATTTCTGAACAGACAACGGACCCTGAGCTTAAATTCACTTCCTTTTTATTGATCTCTCTGGTTCGTTTTCGCTTCTTAATTATGGCAAGTTTAGTTATACAGCTCGAGCCATGCGTAGTGTTGGTTTCATGCGTGTTCTATATTAATCTGGACAAGTAATTAATGCCTTGAGAACAGACCATCCTTAAATATATGGATAATATATTTCAAATAATTATAAATTCTTTTATCCATATATTCCCACCCTATTCAGTGCTGCCTATAATTGCGTGGGCTTTTAGTGGACAAGATTAGGTAGTGGTTTTGCAACCTGTTCATCTTTCGGGCTGAGTATCAAGAAAGAGTCTTGTCATGTCTAGCCCTGCCAAAAATCAATCTATACCTCAAAGATTTTGGAATCTATCTGCAATTAAACATCATTCATCCGGATCTCATATAGTATTAAAATGTTCTAAAGGTAACATTAGTGAACTAGTGTATCAGTCTCCTGACCGGTCTAGTCAAGGGTTTTGGGCAAACCAATCAAGTTGGATTTTATATATATATATATTATTGTATATTTTAATTATATTATCTTAAACCAAAAGGCCTTGAATTTACATTGTATATTATATGTGTATGATTGACAACTATATATATATATGGATATTATCCTTCTCCCATTATAGTATCCACCTCTCGCAAAACAAATGGCATCATCTTCTTTATTCTATCTTCTCTCTGCTTCCACAATCTTTATCATCATTTACACTTTTATCACATCCCTCATTACTGATGCAACCAACCTAGCAGGTTTATCTCTTGAAATCATACACAGATTCTCCAAATTCTCCACTCTACGATAAATCCACAACACCTTATCAGAAATCACTCAATGCTCTTCGTCGATCTATGAAGCAAGCGACTCATTTCTTCCCAGAAATTAAATCTTGCTTGATGATCCTGAAGCCGAAATAATCCCTCAGCTTGGTGATTACATCATGGCCTATTCCTTAGGAACTAGCCCTTCTTTTAGTGCTGCTGGTACCCTTGACACAGTCAGTGACCTTATTTGGTTAAAATGTGATTCTTTTTTATGAATGTTTCGATCCATTATATGTCCCTTCGTTCAAATCCTACAACTCCAAAACTCACGAAACCTATTTTTGTGCTTCTGAACAGTGTAAATCTGCAACTTCTGTCAGAACCACTTGGGATTTTTTTTCCAACAGCAAAATTAAGGCAGAATATTTAGATGGCTCGGGCGAATGGTTTTATAGCACAAGACACGTTGGTCCTTGGTTCTGTAAGTGGTAACAAAGTGGCATTTCCTAGGATTTTGGTTGGTTGTGCTCATGAAACTTTTGGTCGGTTTCCTTCTGATAGTTCTGGCATTATTGGACTCGGACAAGGTTCAATATCGTTAATCTCACAAATAAGTTCTTCTGTTCGAGGCAAATTCTCGTACTGCTTCCGTCAATTTCCTTCTAACGTTAACAGTATATTGCATTTCGGAGAAAACGCTGTTGTTTCTGGAGATGGGGCTGTTTCTACTACCCTTGTGACTAATAAAGACCCAAAAAGTTTTATTACGTTTCGTTGGAAGCAATCAGTGTTTTTGTTTTTTTCTTTTTAAAAAAAAAAACACTGATTGCTTCCAATAATGAAGAATAGAGTTTTGAACAGGGGATGATTATTCAACCCTAGTCGCTTTCATTATTGTGCAATCAACAAAAAAAAATCTGCTATATTTGTCATCTTTTGATTGATGCGAATATTTATGTCATGAATATATATAGGAAAAATGATAAAAAAAACCGTCAAAATAAAAAAAATTATAAATATGGACCCATGATAATATTAATATAGGTTTTGACAACAATAGTATAGATTTTGGTAACAATTTTTATAAAGCTGTGTATAATTTTTTTATTTTGACGGTCTTTTTTTGTCATTTTCCCATATGCATATTATATATAAAATTAATATGTGCAGTACATTCGAAAAGACAGCAATAGCAAAAAGAATATTATATTAATTTGTGTTTGCATATGTTTTTGTTTCTTTGGGCATTATCTTCGATCCATGTTTCTTTTCTTGGTTTTTTTAATCCTTCAAACAAAATCGTTCCTTTGATTGATGCTTAATATATTTATAATTCCTATTAATATTGACGTTAATTCATTAGACTCTGTTTATTGCACCAACACAAATAGTAAAACAATATACCTTAACATAAGTGTTAGTTAAGAGATTTATTTTGATCCTAAATATAATATCTTAATTTATCATGTCTCTCAAATTTGTAATTTATTTTTTTCAAGTCATCCTTACTATACACATTAAAAGAGTTTTCATTAAGGAATAGTTTTAATGAAAATGATTAAAAAAGATATTTGAATATAATCAACAACACGTTTTTTTATAAATAACTAATCTAATTAATTTCTCAATCCCTGCAAATTAATAATCTACCTCCGACAACTAATTAGAGTTTTTGTTTTTAATTGCAGAGAAGGGCAACACGGTGGTTGATTCTGCAGGGACAACATTCTCAATGTTGCCAAAAGATTTCTACGACAAAGTGGAATCAGAAGTTGCAGCAAATATAGAATTAGAACGTTCTCATGATCCATTCAATTACAATCTAGGCCTGTGCTGTAAATCAGAAAGCTATGAAATGTTCCCAGCTCCCATGATCACTCTTCATTTTAATGGCCACAAAGCAGATGTAATATTGAGTCCAAACAATTGCTTCTTCAGAATGAGTCAAAGTGTTGTTTGCTTTGCTTTTCATTCCATTCCAAGTGGGCGAGTACTTATAGGGAACACCCAACAGGTCAACGTCTTGGTTGGCTATGACCTTCACAATAGGGAAATACGTTAAGGTCCCAGAAGAGCATATATACAAAGGTGGAAGTGTTCATTTTATTCCTATATCTCTCTTTTTCTATCTTTATTTTCTCTCGAAGAGGTTGACTTCAATGAGATGTAATTTATGTTGAATGGATGTGCTTTGAATCCAAACATTCAAATCAAATTAATTATATTTATTAATTGTTTCATCTTTTTTTTTATACTAAAAACAATTATTTTCCTATTTGAGATAATTCTGTTTGAGATACTATTGGGTATTAAATGTGCACATTTCTTCTAACGGGAACTCAAACATTGGATTGCTATACTGTGAGAGATTAGTCCTCTATGCTAAACCCAATCCTCATTAGCATTAATTGTTTTAGCTTTTTTATTACATGGATGTACATTTTCTCTCTCATCTAAGCAATAATTTTTCTTCTTGTATATTCTCTTTCTAAACAAGGCCTGTTACTGGGGATAGATAAATGATATGCAATTGCTGGACAATGTAACAATCTCTTACTTTGAATACACAGACACACACACGCACATATATGTGTCTGTGGGCGCGCGCGCGCTCAGTAGTGCCACTGCCGGCAATGGCGATCAAATTAAAATAAAATAACTAGTTAAACCGGTATTGATCATCATTTATAAGAGTTAAGAAATTAATTAATCTCCTGGTATTTATTTGTAATTTTGAGAATATAAGTACTATTAATTTTTTTTACAAGAAGCTTATTTGTAGTTTTTCGGTCCATTAACGTTTAAAATTATAGAAATTTAATGGAGGAACAATGCTCTGACTTTATAGCTTTAGCGACGACATCACACTGCCGCCTTCAACTTTAGGGTGGCAAGTGCTACTGAAAAAAATAAACAGAAATAACCATCACCTAACTGTTGCAATTCAATGTATTGAAACATTCGGCATCAATAATACATAAATAATCACAAAAAAATTATGTCATATTTTTCTCCCACCACAGACAAAAGCTAATAGTAGATAACTATGACAAAAACTAATGCTTTTTACATGCATCTTTTATACTAGTAAAAAAGGGAAAGTTATTACTTTCTACACCGATTCTAAAACCGGTTTAGAAAATCTTCTAGAACTTGTGTAGATCGATAACATTGGATATGTAGTAGTAACAATCTACCTAAGACACGATGTATTCAAGAAGAAAATTGATATACTCCAAAGTTATTAGGCACATTGAACCTTATGGGTTCAAGAATATATGCAATTAAAAATCATTATTCCGATTTACATAAACCTCATACATTGGATCTTTAAATATCTCTTATCCGCATCTTACTTTATACTACTTCCGATTCTTAATATAAGAGCTAGTTAACTAATTTAAGCAAATTAAGAAAGTCTGTTAAATTAGTTATTTGTAATAAATAGGTGCTCTCTTTTCCATAATACCATTGCTAATCAAGTATATTAGCTTTAATATTTGATGAGACTTTTAACATGTCTAATTATTATAAAGACTACCTTGAAAAAATAAATAAATATAAGAGACAAAATGAATTAAGGTTTTATATTTAGAACCAAATAGAAAGTCAATCTGGCTCTTATATTAAATACCAGAGGAAGTAACAAACAACCTTGCATGGACGATACTCCCCCTTATTTTCTCCATCATGAGAATAGAAATGACTATCTTCCAAACCCTATATCTTCTTCCACAATCTTCATCACCATCTTCACTTGCTTCCTCTTCCTAACCAGAGCAACCCAACTTGGTTTTGGTGTTGAACTCATACACCTAGGTTCCCCACAACAATCTCCATTCTATGATAACTCCACAACACCGATTCAGAGATTGTTCAATGCTTTTCATCGATCCATGAAACGTGCGACTCATTCCTTTCCCAAGGCTAAGGTTGTCGTTGATAATTATCCTTAATCTGAGCTCAAATATGCCAATGGAGAATAAGTCATGACCTATTCCTTAGGAGAAAACCCTAGTTTCCAAACTTATGGTGTTGTTGACACAGGCACTGACCTAACTTGGTTACAATGTCATCCTTGTTATGAATGTCACAAACAAAAAGAGCCTCTTATTGATTTATATTCTTCTTCCATAACTTACTGAACCTATTATTGCAATTCTGATCAATGCAAAGTAGCAAAAGCTTCAGTAAGTAACACATTCTGCGACGTCGTTTTTAGCTGCCAATTTGAAATATCGTATTTGGATAAATCACTTACAGCAGGAACGTCGTACACGATACGCTCACACTTGCTGCTTCTTCTACAAGTGATATTGATGGTGGTAAAGTGGCATTTCCTAAGACCTTGTTTGGCTGTGCTGATAAAACTACGGGTTACTTTGTTCCTGAGGGTTCTGGCATTGTTGGTCTGGGACGAGGTTCAATTTCGTTAATCTCACAAATGGGTTCTTCGATTCAAGGCAAATTCTCGTACTGTTTGACTCCAATGTTTTCTGACAAATTAAGTTGAATTTTGGTCAAAAAGCTGTCGTTTCTGGTTCTGGGACTATCTCTACTCCACTTGTGAAGACAGACAATGACAATTACTATCACGTTACGTTGGCAGCAATTAGGGTGGGGGACAAAAGAATGCAGTTCAATTTTGGTAAGAAGTCCATATATTCCAGTGCCCGTCCATTCACCATATACCAATTCTTTCAATATTTTGTTGATGAAAGGGGGGCAAAAAGAAAAGTGGACTTAATCAACGAAAACAAAAAGTTTGAATCTTCATCATCATTTGCTGATGAAATGTTAAAATCATGTTTTGCACACAAGCCCTTTAACATACATGGAGATAAGCAATAAACAAAACTATTAGTAAGGAGTTATATATGTATAGATGTAAGAATTTAGAGGGATTTATGGTAAAATTTCCCAGCTTTAAAGGTTATAGATAACATAAAGTTCAGAAGTTATATAATTTTCCCTTATTTTATAGATGGTTGGCCAATTGAAGAGGGCAACACAGTAATTGATTCTGGGTCAAGGTTGACAATACTACCTCAAGGTGTATACTTCAAAGTGGAATCAGAAGTCATAGCGAAGATTAAATCATGTCAAGCAAGAATAACACGAGCTTTTAGCCTTTGGTATGCATCAGAAAGCATTGAAAGCCTTGGAGCTCCCATTATTACTCTTCATTTCAGAAATAATGCACATGTCAAGTTAAATCCAATGAACACCTTCATTTTGGTTTCGTCGGGCAGAGTTTGCTTTGGTTTTCGTCCCATGATGCGAAGTGTATCGCTGAAAGGGAACTTAGCTCAAGTGAACTTGTTGGTTGGGTTTGACCTTCAAAATAACATTGTTTCCTTTAAGCCCACAGATTGCACTATGTTCTAATAAAACAATATTTAGAATGATTTCTGTTTGTTTTGGTCATTTGTATATTTTTTCTCATTTATCATCTTGATGAAGCGGCTTTAATTAAAATGAATTCAAGCTATTCTTCACATTTTTCCTTGTTATTATGTTTAGAATTTGTTGGCATAATGAAGATTCAGTGAGAGGGAAAAAAGGTGAGGGAAACATATATAATTAATCAGGAGTAAAAAAATGAAAAACTATATTACATGATCAGACAAACCAAAAGTGACGCTTATAAGAAAAACCACACCCCTTTAAAGATTTTATGCTTTTGTTTGAAACCGGAGAGAGTATCATGGACAAATAAGGGGAACAAAAGGTATTGAAATAGTACTAACAGGATTAACCAGCATAAGCATTATTATGTATACATTGGATAGTGAAATTAATTAGAAGACATGAAAGAGAAGGCTTTTGATTGGTCAGTCAGTCATATGGTTATTACAACATGAAAAGTCAAAGAACCAAGAAGATGTAAATGAGTGAGTGCCTAAAGCACATGGTAAGTGGATTAGCGTTTGGCTCGATGCATTGCATAAGAATTCCCTGTAATTCTGATCTCTTTCAAATGTTTTCTTGGCACATTTAGGTTTTAAAAGGGATTGCCATATGTACTAGGATTATATCATATGAGGTAATAAGGATTACGTTCCTAAAAGTAAAGAATGGGGATTACAACACGGAGGAATCTAAAAGAAAAAGACACTATTTGTCCTTGTCGATCATCTTTCTCCACCTTCATTGTCGACGCTGCTTCACCAGCGACCTTCCTATATGCTCCTGCCCTTAACTTATCAATGTCGATTATGAACTCATGGTATCATCGCTTGAAGGATTCATTCCCCAAACTAAAATAGTTCATCAGATTTTAAGAAACTGCCTAATGACAATGTTTGCCTCATTGAGCTCCACATCTCAAATGGCGATTTCATGGATAAAACTATGTGGACACCATCAGAAATGGATCTTTGCCCAAGAAGCAACCTTTCATCTGGATGTTTGGTGGGCTCTTGGTTGAAGAAGAGGGAAGCAAGGTGGATTAGGAAGGAGAAACGATGGCAATAATGATGGGGCGAGGGCTACAACTTGCGATAGATGAGGGAGGAGGAAGGTGAAGAATGGGATAAAGACATTTTTGTCCTTTTGATTTTATTTGTATTAAATGATAAATTTAATTTTTTTATTCTTAGCATTGTACCAAACAAATTTATTGTAATCATCATTACATTTCACCATTACGTTTCTTTACATTCCCATCGAAAAGAAAGCCTTTTCAGTAGAGCCTCAAGGTTAACAATGGAGGAAGCCGAAACAGGTTTACATGATGTCTAATGGGTGGCAAATTAGTGGCGATGGATAGACCAAGCTTGAATGATTGACCAGCTTGCGCTGATTGCTTACCCTGACCAGAACTACCCAAAAAAAAAAATCATATCTTTCTTTCTTAACAAAATACGAGATAAGTATATAAAATAAATAAATATTTAAAGAATATTCATTAATTTATTATTGCTGTTTTTTTTTTTTTGTGAACTTTCCTATATATATATGTTTTTTTGCAAGCCAATTTATTCTATCCGCCTACCTGTTTTTCGAAGATAAACGGTGCACAGACCCAGCTAAAACCCCACAACATACAAATAAATAGCGCGATGCTACATTAATTTTGTGGCAGTGGCATACAATTTATCACTTACAATTTCGCTGCTACTAGTATAAACCTTCCAAATTAAACAGAAATTTTTTTGGGGGGGGGGGGGAACAAGATAAACAAGAAGGAAAAAGATGTTCATTCAGGGAAAAAAATTGCAGCATCCAGGCAGCCATTCTCAAGGCTTCCACAGCTTCATTGTACCATCGTCACTATAAGTTACCACAAGATTCCTATGAGGATGATGCGTCACACCAATAACTTCCTTCTCATGGACCTGCCATTAGCCAGAGATATATTAAGATCACACCACTCACACACACACTAACTAGCTAGCATCTTTGATTTGGCAGCGTGTAACCATAACACAAGGAAAGGAAAAAAACGACCCAAGGTCTAAAAAGTTGCACGACCATTTTAACCAAATTACCGCCTAGTTTATTCACGTAGAATGTATAAAAAACCATCCAAGACATCCCAAACTGTGCTTCGGTGCATAACACCAAGAAAGGTCAACGTTCAGTGCATTACTACTTCGGAAGTATTTCCGAAAGAACGGCAATCGCCCTAAATAAAATTATGCAATAATATAGCACGTAATATTTCAAAACTAGTGCAATGTTGTAATTTCTTATCCAGTCAATGTCAGGTCAACTATTAGTACAAGTTGGGAGTTTTTTTAAACCCAGCATTTTTTTTTTTTTTGGGTCAATTTTTTAACCCAACGGTGACCTTCATAAGAAGGAACATTACAGCAACTTTGAATGATTATATGCAATATTCTCCACAATTTTCTTCAAGGCATTCATATAATTTTAGGGCAAAACTACACATTAACCCAGTTTTTTTTCCCCCAAAAAATTATCTAACATAACATACACTATCCACAAGCCTTGAGTATTGCAACTATTTCTTCGGAGAAAACATATCTAGTTTCATGTTAAATCCACACTTTGACACCAGCCCTCAATTTAAAAATTGAAGTGGCAACTACAAGCAACTGTTTTACGTACAAGTAGATATGCTGATCAAAATAAATAACACCACCACCAACAACAGCAACAAAGTAAAGATACCTTCATTAGATGCTCCAATTTGCCAGATTGATAGCTGAAGCAGTACATATTCCTGAATTTTATTTGCAGATAACATGTGAGAATAACATGAAGGTGAATTAACCAAAATAACTGAGTATCAGAATCATAAGGGTAGATAACTGAATTTAAGATTTCATAACCAATTTTTGTGACTCTCTTTCCATCATAACGTGATGAAATAATCATATTTTGAGAAAGTAAAGAGCAGATAAAGCTCTTGCGTGTAAAAAAAGATGGAGAATTGTGAATCATAAATTGACATAAATTGGGCTCTATAAGATTCTTTATCTCTCTTATTTGTTTGTTAGTTTATTTTTTATTGGCCAAATCGCTCCGTAGGATTCAATAAACATCATTGTCTATGAAATTGCATGAAGGAACAAGGTTATCAAACATATATCTGCAAGTACCTGTCTTCACCAACACAGTATATCCATTCCCCTTTAGGTGAAACGCATGCCGCAACGAAGTCCCCACCTTCTCTTTTACCGGATGAGAAGCTCTTCACAACCTACATCAATATCAGGAAGAAGAAAAAGAAAAAGTATGCTGAGAAGAACAGGATAACAGAGCTAGCTTTAAGATGCTACAATTATTCATTCTTTCTGAATTTGTAGAGAAACCTTTTTATTCTTTTCTAATAAACAAAGAAATATTATGTTCAAACTAGTAGTTGGTAAATCTGGATCCCTTGTAAACAATAAAAATATGGATAGAAGAATGAGGGGAGTGAAAGCATGAAATTTGAGGATGGATGATGAGAGAAGAGGGAATGGAGCAGAAAGGAGAGTAAAAAAGAGAGAGAGAAAAGGAGAGGGGACTAAAGAAGACAACATGAGAATAAAAGAGCTGTTTAAAAGAAAATAATAAAAATATTACTCCTCAAGTCCTAAATATAAAACCCATTTTGTAGTGTAATTTACACTACAATATAGGTCTTATATTTAGGACCGGAGGGAGTATAAATTAAAAATTACTGACAAGTAGCCTTATGTTTATCAAATTGGCATATTTCTATCAAAGAATATATAGATGAGTTGTTACTCGTATAGTATCCAAGAATTTCTCAATGAATAACAGCAGTTGCAGTTCACATGCACAGATAGGATGAAGGACCATTCCTCCAACCGAATCTGAGTGTTTGAAACTAGATATCTACCAACATGAATATGCAAAACTATAAATTTAGCCTTCTCATACAACATTTTAAAGGGAAACAAAAAACAAAAATGGGAAAACAATGTCATCAGTCTTGGATCCAGTACTGGAACATGGTGAGTGGGAAAAGGAATACGATGTCCGATGAATACCTGCCCTTGAAGTGTCATGATGTATATCGAAGATGTTTTGTTACATACAACAATGTGATCTGTATTCTTTGGGAAAATATGAACGGAGTTAACTGAAGCATCACCTCCCTAACAGTCCATAAGGAACCAGATATTAGGCAGAATATATTTACAGGAAAAATGAATGTACAAAACTTAATAACAAGGAGACTTAATGACATAAGTATCTGAATACTTGCCCTTAAAGGAGGAGGTGGCTTAAAAGTCTGTATGCAATCTGTAGATTTCAAATCCCAGACCTACAAATATAGAGAAAACAAGTTATTTCTCATGAACTAAGGAGGACAAAAAGCGCACACCCCCAGTATGTTTTGAGGTGCTGACCTTGATTGTACAATCACTGGAGGCAGTAACAACACGACTTCCATCACTTGTGAAAATTGCATCATTCACATAAGATGTATGGCCACGAAACTCTTTCAATAGCTTTCCAGATTTTAGGCCATGGATTCTACATGTGAAGAACAACAATTGCACTTAAGTATCTGTTAAACTATCCATAGAACAACAGCAACATCGGTGTTGATCCATGAATAAAAATTTGAGTTGTATATAGATAGGCATTATAGAGATAAAAACTATTAAACTATCCACAAAGACACAAATCATTTATAGTTAAGGCAACATAATAAAGCGGGGTGGGACTACTGAAGAAAAGTGTATCAAATCTGAGATGACAAAAACCATAGAATAACAGCAGCAGCAATTAAAGTCCCGTTTCTGTGGGAAGATAATTTATGAAATAACACGAATTTTAAGTATTTGTTTGTGTTAATCCTTGATACATTATTTTGTCAGCTGGAGAACTAAAGAATTTTTTGGGTGTTTGGAAAGGTAACACAGTAAAATCCCAAATCACTTGGGTTTAAAGGCGCTTCCAAACTGCAAGACAATTCTTACATGTGAAAAAACCATAATTACTTGCCACTTTCTAGGCTTTGAAACCAACTTTCAAAAATTTAGTCAGAATTCATTGTCGGCCACGGCCAGGTTTCAAAAACAGACCCATCACAGGCTGATCAGAAATTTAATTTGACTTCAGAAACAGAGGACTAAACTTAGTAGGTTTTTGACCGTGAACAATAGCAATAGGTGAAGAGACTTTAATAGTTCATATCAAGTAAGTTAAGTAAGGAAATTCGTGGAAATGAAACCTTGCCGTGCTGTCAAATGAAGTACTTAATAGCTGGCTTCCATCACGAGAGAAGGCAATACTTGTGACACCCTGGGAATGAGCACGTTCAAGACGCCGCAAACATTGACCAGTCCTTATCCGCCAAACCTAGAATGATATAATTACATATTTAAATGCTTTGCATATTAACAATTGAAAAGATCAAAACATTAACAACCTTCAATGCCAGCAACTGGACATTAAGACAGGACAAGGAAGCACATAATGTAGATGCATACAGAATGAGAAAGTGGGATCAGTTATTACAAGAAATGTGAGACTTTCATTGTATCACAGCGTATAGCACGAATAATACAATGCTCATGTTACAAAGTACAATACTGTCCTAGTTAGTTGTTTATTTTTATACAAGAGTAATGCTGGAGATTATGGGTTATGCTAAGATCTATAACAGCTCTTTTTTGTGTTAGTTCCCATTCATTTTAGCTTTTATTTCCCTTACTTTCACCATTTCTCAGTTTTCAGAGCAGAGCTTAGGAGTTACGTCTTACGCCTTCTCAAATTGTGGGTGTAATTGAATTTTCTCTCCCACCTATATATGTGTACGCACATAGCACCACAAAATGAATAAGTTTCAAATCCATTTTTCTATCCTTTTGCACCATATTTCTTCAAGTACACCACTGTAATTTTCAAAAAATATCTGGACATGCGAGACATGGAAAATTATCAGACTTGCAATATGTTAAATGAAAGTATGCCACCTAAAAATGACTATCTTCCCATCATATTTAGTAATACCACACGGTAGCTTGTAGCACCATGCTACAGCTATTAGCACTGCCATGCGAGTAGCATTACAATGTTCACGTAGCTCCAATACAGCATTGTTATAGGAGCTACTTTTGTGTAACTGTATTTCACACTACATTATAACCAGGACTAAAGCAACCATACTTAAAGCAATTTTGAAGAGGATGCTTTGGGATCATCAGCGTTGACTGATTTTTATTTGCCACATAAAGAGCACGAGATGATGGCCTCCTGCCTGCTCTTGATATAGCTGATAAAACAAATAAAACCTTCTAAAAACAAAGAGGAAACTAAGGCATAACTTAATTATGGTCAATATGATAAAGCTTACACTCAAGAAGTTTGGAAGAAATTTCGGGATAAAAGGGAAAAAAAAAAGAAAAGAAATAGAAATTGTTGTATTTTATGACTAAAGTATTTGATGCGATTTTTTCATGATTATTATGCTGCTACAAATCTTTCCTATTTTTTTTCTGTGATTTTGATTTTCAAAATGCATTCAATCTTATCATTATGGGCCAGTTAAAGCGTATGTGTATAAAGCATTGCACAATTCATGATTAGGAACACAAATGAAACAAACATATAGATGAAAGAATTTTTGTTGAAAAGATGCTGCCCTTAAAAATTGTCAAGTAGTACTTACTTTAATCTTGCCATCTTGAGATCCAGAAGCTAGCATCTCAGAATCTCTGCTAAAATCTACACAAAGTACTGCATCATCATGCATCATGAATATTTCCTGCAATCTCTCAGCACATCAGAAATGCTCAACGCTCAGGACTAGACTTGATGATACAGTATAGAAAACTTAATTTTATAGGCCAGAGAACACAGCGTCAAAATATAGCTTCCAACTAAAGAATAAGAGACCCATTTGCAAGAAGAGGATGTGATGCATGTATCGATCAATAAATACACCACTAGGCTTAACTAAGCCCCAGCAAATTAATTGTTGCAATCAAACTAGCAAAGATATATCAAGAAGACATGTCCATCTATGACTACAACCTCTCAGAGAGAGAGAGAGAGAGCATAAAAAACAACGTGCAAATACAGAAACATCTTTGCAAAGTTACGAGTGTCATGCGGCGCGCAACTTCATAAACATTGTAAATGTATCACTAAGTATCTCTAACTTGGCCACAACAAATCAACTGTTCTAGAAATGCCAGCACAAGAGCATGGATAATCTATTTCACCCATGGGAAACTGAAGAGGTACCCTAGGAGTAGAAAATTGTAGATATTTTAATTATATTTATTTTATTATTTTATGTTTCAGTAAAGTCTTTATTAAAGTTATTTGGGGTTTCCTTTAATTATAATTAGGTAACTATTTAAGTAGAAATTATTTTAATTTTTTACTATTGTATTTAGGGCTTTATAAATAGCCCTTGGGTTATTTTCTTTGTAGGCCTTATAGAGTTATCATCCGGAAATTTGCAGTCAAACACTCTCCCCTTCCTCTCTTTCTCCCTTGATCTGTTTTATCATCCCTCTCTCCCCTTCCTTCTCCCTCCCCTTTCCCTCCTTGTCCTGCATCACTCATCTTTCAAAGCATCGTGCTTAAAAGTCATGGAAAGGGTGCGGACCTTCAGGTGAGTAAGTGAGAAACTGATAATATGTGCAGGGCACTGAAGAAGGTAAAAGAAGTTTAATTTTACAAATATAACTTACGTCAGCCTGGTACTGGAGATCTTTCTTCAGCTTTCCACTAATGTAATCCCATACCTACAGATAACCAAGACTTTGGAAATCAGAAAAAAAGCACATGATTACTAAAAATTGTCACCAAACATTATACCACAATGCGTACCTCAATAAATCCATCAACTGAGCAAGAGACAAGAAACTGCCCATCTGGTGAAAAGCGGGCACATTCTGCATGACTTTTTGTGCCAAACTATAGAAGAACACAAGCAAACACAATTATTGGATTATAAACCCTTCAGCATGACAACGAAGATGAACGTTAATGAATATTGATTTTTCACTTGTAAGGTCAAACAAAACGTCCTGATAGAAATCAAGGGCTGAAGAAAAACACTACAGGTAACAAGTGTTAAAACAACAATACAAACTCCACATTAGCAGATAGCAAAATCTTCAAGCCAAAGCAGTAAATGATAGTAGTTAATCCATTATGGATATAACTGAAAGCACATAACAATGCAGCATTGGTATGAATTATACCTTAATTGTATGAGAAATAGTTGTCGGATACACGTCATCCACATCTTGTTTCATAGCAGCTGTCCCTCGAAACAAGTCAAACTGTGTTCCAGGAGGAAGTAATCCTGAAAGTCACAAAGAAAAGCATAAAACCATCAAGGGATAAATTCACTGCAAGTTAGGCAATATAGAATCATCAAGTTATCACCTTTACTATCCAAGCATGGAAAATTTAGGCATCCCAAAGCATCAAAAAAGAAGTATTTCACTCCACGTATTTAAATTCATCATGGTAATTGAAAAAATGTACGATTTAATTCATTCTTTGCACCTTTAAGAAGAAATAAAGAAATGCCCATACCATCGTACATGTGCCAGAAATGAAGGAAATTAAAGAAAATAGTGAATTGCAAATGAAAGCAGAATCCATGCAAAATATCATAAGAATAGACCATTTTTCATTTCAGACAAAAGTTGACACAGAAAGTAAGCTAATGGAGAATTGATCTGTCCGCAGAAATACACCTTGATGCTGCTGCCACTTCAAAGCCTGACCAATTAGAGCCATTAATCGGGAAGGTGGCACTACAGTAACTTCTGCAGCAACAGCTGTAAAAAGCAAAGGAGAAGAAAAACTCAGTTTTTTGAAGTAGAAGCTAACCTCAGCAATAAATACTTGAACAATAACAAAGGAGCAAAAATGGAAAATCCATCAGCTCTAGTTTGTCGTAAGAATATATATTATTCGGGATTATGCTATGATGACCTTCACTAATACACCTATGAGGAAACCCACCTCAGAAGCCATGGCAGGTAAACGTAGAATTGCCTGCCTTGGGTATCCCGTGAGTACCCATACCACTCAACAAGGGACAAAATAGTTCTTCATTTTTAAAAAAGCAAGTTTCCGTTTTTAAAGTAAAAATCTTGAAATGCAACTCAACAGGAAGAGAATCTGATAATAAATAGTAACTCCACCACCAATCAAGGAGAAAACATTTTTTTTCCAATCAAGAAAGATACATTTACTATAATTGCAGCCATAAAAATCAATATCACAGCTAAGCACAGCAGCTACAAAATATTTTGGAGAATACCTTGGGCAATTTGCGCACGTCGCCTTTCTTTTGTTGAGTCTTGATAAGCCTATCACATGGACAATTCTTTTTCAAAAAAGGGAGCAAACAACATAGATTCAAAACATGTCACTCTGTAGTCCAGAGCAGAAAAAGATGCCAAATTTTATTTGCATAGGATTCACGTACTGATGAAGACAATGACCTATAAGCTACTTAAATTACAAGCTGAAAAAAGAGACATATTAAGATTTAGAGCCCTGGTACTTCCATGGTTACATAGGACTGCTTCAAGGGATAACGAACATCAGAGCATATTCAAAATATGATGCTCATACAGTATGAAAAACATAAAGAACAATTAAACTTATATACCATACAACAAAAAAATGTGAATGCACACATTAACAATTCCCGCAGACAATTATCTTCTTCTTTTTTTTTAAAAATATTTGGAAGCTCGGTTCTCCAGCAGATATAGGGATACTACTTGTTCCTTTAATTAAAAATTCACCTCACTTAGATAGTTAACCAGTATGGTCCCAATATTTTGAATGTATTTATCTACTTAAAAAATTAAAACGTTTTACCTTAATACAAGTCCACATGATCTCAAATTCAATCATAATTTTTAATATATATATATAATATTGAATATTGATATTAATAAGCTCATACTCAGCAACAGAAGTATTAATTTGAACTATTAGAAAACGAATAACATGAAGTAGACTCCAACCTCATTAGGATCAAAATATGTTCTAACAAGGAGATGTTCAAGCCGCAAATATCTTTCAGGTTGTTCTTGTTTCATGACACCCATCACCTGTGTTTGCCGTAGAATTGCACGAGCAGTATCCAGTTCTCGAAGTTCAATCATCTCCAATACAATCTGCAAACATGTGAACAAAAATTGAAACATTTGTTATTGGACTGAAATATGTGGAAATGAACTGTTATGGACATCCAAGGTTATACATGCCTACAAATCATCCTAACATAAGTAATGGAGAGCTTCTCTGTCTGTTCTGCTCAACAGACTTTACCTCCCTCCCACCCCCTCCCCCTGTCTACAAGATTGATGGAATCAATAATCAAACCAACTTTTCTGTATTCAGATTTTCTACACCTTCGCTGGAATGTATTTTCAAACAATATCAATTTTCAATTTGTCTGGCTTAAAGTGTAGCTCTCTCATGTTTGCCTAAGTTCCATCCTCACTGCTATTATATGGATCAGGCTATGTTATGTTCTCGTTGTACATGTAGGATGGACTATGCATACTTCAACCTTAATCATCATACAGAAGATAGATGAGGAGACTTAGGTCAGTAACTCATTAGCTTTTTCTCTTTCTACATTCACATATGAAAAGAAACTTCACACATAACTAAACTGTTTTGACAGTGAAATACCTGTAGCATGGAAAAATGAATAACTTTGGTCTATAGATTATCTAGCAAAGGTTTGAAGTGTAAGACAAAATTTGATACCTTTGGTTTTTACTTTCACCATTCGGAATTGGGGAAAAAGACTAGCAATGCTAGAGAGTATTGGGCTCAAATGGATGGAGAGACCAGAGAAGTGAAGCAGTGTTCTGTTATCTTTTACTTATTCCAATCAAGGAACTGATGATTCATCATGACATTGAAAGCCAGATCAGTAGGCCGTTCAAATTTTCATTGCATAAAAAAAGTGTACCTTTAGTTGATGATTAAAAGTACATTTCCTCAATCAGATGTTTATCAATTCTCTAGACACGCTAAATCACCATCCCTCTCATACATATCAACCCTCTCAATGCTTATCTCTCACTAGCAATGAAGTTTGGGGTCCTCCAAATATTACAAATATCAGAGATGCAAGGTTGTCATTTGTAGATCCCCACAAGAGATTAACATGGGTAAATTTTGTTACAGAGAGATCAGAACTCGCTGTTGTCTTTCAAACCTTCACAAACTGATCGAAACCAGATTCCATGCCTCCATTCAAATGTTCAGAGTCTATAACAGTGGCAAAATTTTCAGTACTGCCCTTGACTATTACGAAATCACCATGAGATTCCAGATCAAAGTTAATGCATTATTGCTCCCAGGGTGGGAAAAGGAGCAACATAGGTGATCAATAGGATGCCTTCAAGGATTTAAAATTTACTTCACTTCATAAAAAGCTTCATAATATTTTAAAAGAATACAAAAGAGGTCATACCTAAAAGCTTACCAGCAAAATAAAAACATCTAAAAGATCAATTTCCAGTTTTCCATAGATTCGACTAGGTAATACTAACCCAATTTCTCCTGTCACTCAATTTATTTTGTTAAGAAACACCCTTTATTAATGTTCTCCAACCACACAGCACTACTTTCTCCGCTTTAACTCCCACTTTCTTGTCTTCCCTCCTTTAATCGCACCCTACTATTTCACTCAAACTCAGTGCCCAGCGAAAATCCTCAAACAAATGATAGGTTTTTTTTGTAGCATTAACTAGATACAAAGTCAATGGCAATCAGTTAAGATTGTTATAAAGCCACAGGGGATTTAAACTCATTAATCAACCAAACTAACATGCAAATACCTGCTCATACAAATCCTCCAATTTATTCCTGGGAAGCTTAAGTTGAGCCACTTGAGGCAATATCGCATCCCACCTTCCACTATTAATATCAGCAACAAATGTCTCAATGCTGTCTACAGTATTCAAAGAAACCTGACACTCATTCTGCAAAGTCTGGAATGTCTGGTGCAGGGAATTTTCCTTGCAAAACTGGAGGACGATTTTGATGACACTGCAAAACAGTTCTCACGTAATTGAAAACAAATAAACTAACAATCCGACAGAAGCCTAAAACACTTATGGGACCAAAACAATGAAGTTTGTGCATTCAGAAATACGAAACTCACTCTCGTGCTTCGATTTCAAGAGTAGACATAGCTTCAACAGGTCACAGAGGTCCAAGGTTCAAAGCAGACCCAGTGAGCGTGTAGGGTTTTACACTCAGCTACCGGCTAACACGAAGCAAAAGGGAATGTGAGAGGGAAGGAGTGAAACAGTGACCAGGTCCGGAAAGTATATTCCTGTCTATGAGGGGCAGCTGTTTCATGCGAGAGATGGTAGGGGAGACAAAATTCGAGGACGAGTCAATGAAGCTTCCAAGCTCTAACACTCTTAACTTTCGAGGGTTTCGATTTTAATTTTACTGGGTTTTCGTTGCTCAGATGCTATCCATGGGGTCCGCGACAGGTCGAGTTGAGGGGTTGGGTAAAACTACAAATTCTATGATATACAAATTTTACAATATAAAAAATAAATCTATCTCAATGTATATAAAAATATTTTTTTAAACACGATTTTGTTGGATGTAAGGTAACATAATATAAGATGAGACAAATTTTTTTATATATTTATTTTGACAGTATTTAGATAAATACTAAATTATAATTTTAAAAATTATTTTACGATATATGAAATAAATATGTAGAGAGATTTATCACTAAAAAATATTTTTTAAAAATCTTTTTATTACTTGCCAAACAGTTTAAAAAAACACTTTTAAAATCATAATTTAATTACGTTCAAACATCTCCATGCCTTTGGATGTGTTTGGTGAGCTTTTGGATGAGACAAAGAACGATTGCAAGAATTAATGAATTTTAAGAAATTAAAAAATCAGAAATTTGAAGTCTCAATTCTCTTTTATAACAAATTAAATTTGAGTGTTCTTAGCCTTCTTATAGTTAATTCTTAATTTTAATCAATTATAACCTTTATAATAGAATGTCAGAAGTGCATATTACGGTCCTAATTTAGATAAAGTTTGAGTTTAATCTCTTGATTTTATAAACTATTATTTTTAGTTTATTGGTATTACCATCATTAGTTTTATTTAAAAAGGGTTGAAATTGCAATTTTAAATTATTATAATTAAATTAAACGAATAAGTAAATTCGCAAAGTAAAGAAACATTTTGAGTAGGGGTGAATAAAACCAAACCGTAATCGAAAACCGAATCGAACCGAATTTAATTTTAGTTTTTTAGTTCGGTTATTTTGGTTTTTGGTTACATATTCAGTTTTTATTTTTGTAATAATTTGGTTTTAGTGTTTGGTTCAGTTAGTAAAAAAAACGGTTATAAACGAAAAAACCGAAATGAATATATTATATATTTATATTTAATAAATGTTATTATAATAAATATATATATGAGTTTATGTGAACTCTTTAAATATATTTATATTCAATAAATATGGTTATAATAAATATTATTGTAATAAATCACATTAAATGATGAAATATTTATTAATTAATGGTTGTAATTGTGTTTTATTATTATTATTAATTTAAAATCACTTTTATATTTATACATTTCGGTTAATCGGTTAACCGAACCCAAAAAATTCGGTTAATTCGGTTTCGGTTAGTTCGATTGTCAGTTTTGATTCGGTGTTTAAAATTTACTCTGTTCAGTTATCACCGATATCCGAACAAAAAACCGACACCCTTACTTTTCGGGCCCGGGGTTCCGTAGCTCTCTCCATCTTCATTGGTTCCAGTCTAAGGTTTGGCCGTGGGATCTATCGGACGGTCTCAATCAATTCTTGTTGATGGGTGCGAACTTGGGGCAAGGCGCAAAAATCTCCAGGATCCCCGGCGGGGACAATTGTCGGAGGCGGACGAGGGGTAACGGCGGCGACGAGAGGCTGCACATTGATAAGAAACAAATTGGCCTTTTCACCCTTTCTTCCCCTCTATATCTCTCGTTACCCTTTTAAAGTTTAATTGTTTAGCGGCTTTGTGAGTGTCTGTATAGAGGTTTTTTATTTGGTTTGGCTGATAATATACTTCTTTTTCATGGCTCACTATTTCTTACTATTTGGAATTCCCCCCTTTTTCTGGCCATTATTATTTGGAAGGTTTTTGGAAGATCAGATGTTGTAGGGGAGTCAGGCTAACGCTGTTTGTTATCATAGGTTGCCTTGCTATAGCGGTCTTGGCGCCAATTTCATCTTGCGGGGTGGAGATACTTTTCATACTGGTTTTTGTCCATGGCCACTGTGATATGCATTAAAGATGTTGTTTTTAGGACAATTTCCAATTTCCAATTTTGCATGGTTCAGATCAACAAGGACAATTTACTGAAGATGATGGGTTTCAATGGATTTAAACAGAATCCAGATAGGTTTAAGCTGTTGTGGGCGCTTTCAAGCTTTAAAACATGGAAAATCATTTCATTCTTATTTAATCAGACTTGGACTGTTGAGTGAAGTATTTCTTGCAAACAATACGATATCCATGTATGTGAAATGCTCTCATTTAGATGACGCACAAAAGCTTTTCGATGAAATGCATGATCGAAATATCATTGCTTGGACAACAATGGTATCCGCTTATACCAACCGTGGGAGGCCTCGTGAGGGTCTTAAACTTTATAGTCAGATGCTGGAATCTAGAACACAGGAACCCAATGAATTTTTGTACTCTGCTGTTTTGAAGGCATGTAGTCTCGTGGGAGATGCTGAGTTGGGTAAGCTGATTCATCAAGATATATCTAGAGCTAAGTTGAAGTGTGACACTGCTTTGATGAATGCACTCCTGGACATGTATGCCAAATGTGGAAATTTGAGGGATGCTCAGCAAGTTTTCAACTCAATCCTGTGTAAAAATTCAACTACGTGGAACACCCTTATTTTGGGTTATACTAAAGAAGGATTAATGGACGAAGCCTTGGAATTGTTCAATCGAATGCCAGAACCCGATCTTGTAACTTGGAACAGTATCATTGCTGGCCTCGCATATAACGGTAGTCCACAAGCATTGCAATTTGTATCTATGATGCATAGGAGGGGCCTTAAACCAGATGCATACACATTCTCATGTGCGCTTAAAACCTGCAGTTATCTTGATGATTTAATCACAGGAGGACAGATTCATTGTCATATAATTAAGTCTGGCTTTGAGTCTAACATTTACAATATATCAGCATTGGTTGACATGTATTCAAATTGCAAGTTTTTAACTGAAGCAATCAAGGTATTTGATCAATACTCTACGAGCTGTCCTGTCACTCTAGGTTTGGCGCTCTGGAATTCTATGCTTTCTGGATATGTTGTCAATGAAGATTACACAAAGGCTCTTAATATGATTGCACATATTCATAATTCTGGTGCACAATTTGATTCCTATTCTTTTAGTATTGCTTTAAAGATCTGCATCTACTTTAAGAATTTGAGACTGACATCTCAGGTGCATGGTTTGGTAATAACTTGTGGCTATGAGTTATACTCTGTTGTTGGAAGCATTCTTATTGATCTATATGCAAAACAAGGCAGTATTGACAGTGCACTTAGATTGTTTGAAAGGATGTCAGATAAGGATACTGTGGCTTGGTCTAGTTTGATTGCTGGATGTGCTAGACTGGGTTTAGGTGCATTAGCTTTTTCTCTCTTTGCGGATATGGTCAAGTTAGATCTCGAAATTGACCAATTTGTCATATCCAGCCTTCTTAAAGTTTCTTCAAGTTTATCATCTCTGCGAAGTGGCAAGCAAATCCATGCTTATTGTGTCAAAAAGGGATATGAATCAGAAGGTGTTACCATGACATCACTTGTTGACATGTATGCAAAATGTGGTGACATCAATGATGGTTTAGCTTTGTTTAGTTGTCTTTCAGAAATAGATACTGTATGTTGGACAGGGATTATTGTGGGATGTGCACAAAATGGAAGAGCAGTCGAGGCAATTAGGCTTCTGCAAGAGATGATAAAATCAGGTTTCCAGCCTAATGAAATCACCTTTATTGGTGTTCTTACTGCCTGTAGACACGCTGGTCTAGTCAAGGAGGCATGGGCTATATTTGATTCTATTAAAACTGAACATGGACTAATACCATGCCCAGAGCACTACCATTGTATGGTTGATCTGCTTGGCCGATCAGGACACTTCAAAGAAGCAGCAAAATTGATTAATGACATGCCATTTGAACCTGACAAAACCATATGGCGCTCTTTGCTCAATTCATGTGTCATGCACAAGAATCGGGAGCTTGCAAAGATTGTTGCTGAGCATCTTCTAGCTACCACACCAGAAGATGCTTCTACATATGTAACGGTGTCAAATGTATACGGAGCTCTGGGAATGTGGGATAGTTTAAGCCAAGTTAGGGAAGCTGTCAAGACAGTAGGGACAAAGGAAGCTGGAAAAAGCTGGATTGAAATTGCGAGTTGAAAAGCTTGATTTGTTTATAGCATGGTTTGGCCAGATTAATCCTTAGTATTAAAAAACAAAATTTTTGGGATGATCAATTGAACTGTCTGACCTCTAACAACTGAGAACTATCTAAACTGAGAAAGAAGACCTTTATGTGTTCAATGGCTGCATTCATTCAAGAAAGAGCATCGAAACACCACATTCATATGAAATGTGGATGGGAGATGATTTAGCTCAAAAGCACCACATTTGGACGCAGCAAATTTCCTCTTCGGAGGGGAATTTTTGTGGCACAAGGAGAATTGGCCTCGGTGAATGGATTTTTGGCCACAGTGATCACATCAGATGGTGAACTTAAGAGAAGGCTGGCAACATTATGAAACAGAGAAAGGGAGGAGGAGAAAAATGGAGCTGTGCTCGGGTGTTATATTTTTGGTCTTGGGAACTTGTTCAACCACCTTGGGATGCTAAAATCTTGAGGACAAGACCTGCTACACATCTTTACTCTCTCATTCCATGAGATTTCTTGGTTAAGGTTGAAGGATTTTAGGGGTAGGTGATGCAATCTCACATGGGCTTGAGTTTTATTTCTTATATGGCATTAGATTCTTGTTTCTGCTTGGTGATTTTACATCTTCAGCGCTTGGGTTTTGAGTTTTACTGCTTGATGATATGATTTGGGGTTTAACTTAGGGTTAATCTCTGTGGGTATGAGATGCACGAATTCAGAAGGTGATTGATGACCAATCTAGGTGTTCTTTTCGGATTTTTGAACTGTGGGAAGAAGTTAAATCTGTTTAATTGCAAGGATATTTGGGTTGGTTGATGAACCTTAATTCTCTGCGGGACCTGAATGTCTGCTGCTAGAATTGGTGCTTGCTCTCTACATCTAGTATGCAATGCACTGATCTATTAATATCAAAATATCTGAACCTTTGAACAAAATCCTATAATCATAACCGTCCCCTTCAGCCCCCAAAGTTAGATTCCTTATCCTATCCTGGATGCATTGCTGACAACCCTTCAACTGAGGGCGAGAAGATGCGTCTGTGCATGCGAAGGTGCCATGGGTGAGACGGTGGTATGAATTTCAGAATCCTCGCCTCTTCATTTTTCAAGCTCGGAAATCCTTGTTTGTTGCAGAATGAGAAGCTTCTTCATCCAGGTCTTCAACTGCATGAAATTAGTGGGAACAAGAAGCTTTTTCGATCCAAACCTTCCATAGTGGCTTGTGAGTGGCTGTTTTGACTTGCTTCTTCAATCTCATTAATCTAGTTGCTTCTTCGATCCGAATCTGCGCATGATCAAATGCTGACTTGCTTCTTCCATCTCTCCTTCGAAATTGAAATTTGAACTAATCTGTTTGGTCCGATATTATCTAATTTCTTCTTCAATTTCCCACATGTATTTGATGCATTTTTATATAATCTAATTGCTTCATGAATAATCTAAAATTACACCTTCAAATGATGCTATACTTACTGAATTGGGACTATAATGACTGATTGAAGTAGAGTGAAGTGCTGCACAATCAAGCTTAAAATAACGTACTGTTTCACCAAATGAAGCCTTTCACTGAGGGGCTTTCCTTTGCCCTTTTCTTGTTCCTTTTTTTTTTTTTTGGGGAAAAAAAATACCCTTTTGAGGTATCATGCCTTACGAAATATATCCTTCAAGGATTTTCATACTTGAATAAGATAAACTTAAATTTGACCAAGTAATGCTAAAATAGCGGATGGATTTATTAAACGGCTAAACAAACATGCCCTGATGCTCTAAGCCTCCCTGTGGCTCGAGCGTGGTGCAATCCATTGGCTTAAAGTTGACAATATTGTTTTGAAGGTCAAAGCCAACCTTTAAGTTCATCTGAACTAAGTTGCCTATGAGTCCTAAATCCTCCAAAACTTGAAAAGTAAAGCATGCTAAATTTGGACAAACTACAACGAAGGTATTAATCGGATTTAACCTCACATCAGCACCTTTGAAATGAGCAGTTTTTTTTTTTTTTGGGTGACAAGTGAGCAGTTATAATTGGAGCTTTAACACCTTCAATACCTTCTGATTCATAGCAAAGGTTGAAAACTTTGCGTGGGTCATTACTGCGATTTCATATAATCTTTTTTGCGACTTCTGATTCCACTTTGAAGTACAAATCTTGCGGCGAAAATGACATTATTGATCCTGAGTCAATCGCTGTATTGCTCTCCACTAGTGATCTTGCAATGATCAACTCCAGTCTCTTAATTATCTTAATACAATTATAACATGTAAGAGCTGCTTTTAATTCTAACAAATATGACATGATGTTCCTCAAATACTCATGTATGATATTAAATTATATATTAGTTTATAAGATAGATGAATTAGTTTGGGAAAAAAAATTATGAATACAAGAAACAATGAATTAAGGTTTTACATTTAGGTTTAAAACCAACTCTCTAATTAGTTCTTACATTTACAACGAGAGGAGTAATTTTTTTAATTGCAGGGATCAATACACTGTTGATTTGAGGTTTAAAGTGAGATTGAACTCACAATTAGAAGAAAATCAACAGAATTAGAAATTATTTTGTCAATTAAAAAATAATTGAATGAATTGTGAGGTTATGTAATGAAAGTGGCCGGGATTGTCGAGTGGCTAATTACCTGCTGGAAAATCTATGCTTTTGTCTTCCACACTGATTCCTTCCAAGGTAACATAATAGTAGTTGTTTGAGTCTCCTGGCACAAGTGGAGGAGAGACAGCCCCAGGTCCAGAAACGACAGCGTTTTAGCCAAAATGCAACTTGCTATTTGCAGGATTGCCCAAATTTGTTCCATTAAAGTCATCCACTTACGTAAGCCCTAATTTCAACACCCCACGATGCCACTATGCAAGATCTTCTATGGCTCAGATCTCTTGTAGTGATTCTTCATTATGCAAATGATCTGGTTACAAAGGGACTTGTAAGCTATGACACACTCACACTTGCCCTAACAAATGGTACCAAAGCTGCATTTCCTGGGACTGTGTTTGGCTGTGGATATGATAATGGTGGCGTTGAGGTTTCTTCGCAGACATCTGATGTTGTTGGCCTTGTGAAAGGTCAATTCTCGTTGATCTCTCAAATGGGTCCTTCTTTTAAATGCAAATTTCCGTATTGTTTGATTGATCCATTCTTTAGTAGTGACTTGTCTGGTAAATTGAGTTTTGGTCAAAGTGCCAAGGTTTCTGGACCTAGGACTGTGTCCACCCCCATTGTACCAACGGTTCGAAGCAATTTATATTACCTCAGTATGGAAGGAATCAGTGTGGAAGGCACCAGGCTAAACTTTATTGCAGGTGACATGATTCAATCTTGGTGACTTTAACACAAAACACACATATCAAAGCTAAATATGCAATTTAACTCCTAATATTATTTCCGAAGTGCAATTTTACCCCATCTTTCTATGATTTTTTTTTCAATTTTGCCTTTAATTTATGGGAGGGGTAAAATTATACCAAAAAATATTTTTAACAATAAGGAGCTATATTACTATAATTTTAAATTTTTAGGATAAATTTTCACTTAAAAATAACTTCTTGATGCTCAAAACTCCTGAGTGAATACTTCAGACGCAAATTTGTATATTAACACTAACAACTCTGTATGTTTATCATTTGTGACACACATCTTCATTTTCATAATCGACTAGAGTGTTTCTTGCAGTTGATAATGTTTCAAGCTCAAACATGAAAGCAATGAGGGAGGGCAGTACGATCATAGATTCAGGGACAACAACACTAACTGCGTTGCCACAAGAGTTTTCCTGCAAATTTGAAGAAGTTGCAAAAGTGGTTGACACTAAATCAAAACGTGTTAACAGCCCAGTAAAACGTTTGAGCCTTGCTCTTCGGCCTTTTGCTTCAACTTCAGGTTTGGGCACCTATGGGGTCCTGGCTCAGATTAACTACTTGATTGGTTATGATCTGCCCAATAATCTTCTTTTATTTAAGCCAGAAGATTGCTCTGTGTACTGATCCGTTTATTGCGTAGAGTCTGAAGTGATATTTTTTGGAAATTATCTGAATGTTTTCACCAAAAAACAAATTATCTGAAGGTAATATAAGATGGGATTCATACACTGATGAAAACATGTCTTGTTTTGTATGTAAAACGTAGTCTCATCATTAGTAGTCTTTCTTGCCGTTAATTAAAATTAGTTAAAAATAATAAGGTAATGGTACATTAAACAACCTGATTTTATTTTCCAGGTGTATCCAGCATCTTAATCTTATTTTTAGTGTATCTAGCAGCATAAAAAAATTAAGGTGCCAAATGTAATTAAAGAAATAACATTAAGGTACTGGATGTTTCAAGAAAATAAGATTAGAACGCTGAATGTATTTTATAAAATATCAAGTTATTGAATGTAGTTAGAAAATAAGATCATGATGTTAAATGCATCTTTATTCAAAGCAATAAATATGTATAGAAAAATGTAAATCATTTTTCAAAAGCAGCTTTTTGAAAGAGAGCTCTCTCACTTTTTTTCGTTTTTATTTTTTTATTTTTTTACCATACAATGAGGTATCAAGTTTAAAGTGCTATTTGTTATGAAATTAATCAACAAAGAAAGTATATCCAAAAAAGATGTAGACAAAAAAATGAGAGAATGATATTATATTCCTTCACTTGCTTCATAATATAATGGTATGCCATATTTATAGGTATAATCTTACACATAGGTTACATTTATACTTAAATGATAAATAAACCACATGAGTATGAGTGGAGGGTGAGTTATAAGATTAAAGACATAGTGAAGGAGTAATGGAAGATTAATTCCTAGTAGAAGTAGTGAGAGTTGATGAAGTTGAACGAGAAGAGGATATGAACATCTATATGTAATATTCATAGCACTCTTTTCAATTTTTATATTCCTCTTAAATTTTGATACACATGCGCACGCACTTCTCTATAATTTTTTTTTTTTACCGTTTTAGAGTTTTTTTTTTCAGTTGCCCAGAGTATCCTCCCATCCGAGCGGTAAGAAACTAATCCATTGGAGTATTATCAGGCATCGTAGCGGAGACTCCTCCTAATAATATTTTTGTTCATATAGACCATCCAAATCCCTTCTACTTGAACCAACACTTGTTAGTATTTTGAAGTTATTGGGCATAGTGAAAAGAGATTCTCAGTTGGGCTAAGCAGTGTTTGGTTTTGATCCAGGGCCCCAGCTACACTTGGGCCGGCCTAGTATTGGGTTAAAATTCTGTAATATATAATAAGTTGCCCTAATTAATATTGTTACATTAACCAGGTCCAGCGAAAGCGACTATTCTTTCACAATATGACGGATCAAGATTCGAATTTTGACTTAGAGAGATATTCATAATAGGAGTATTTTGAAAAATTGACAATTAACCGCCTTAATTGACCATTATTTCATAAATATCTTCACAATCATATTCTAATACTAATATAATATTACATCTGGTTCTCAATATAAGAGTTTGTTTGATTTTTATTTTGATCTTAAATATAAAATTCTAATCTATTTTAGCTCTCATATTTATATATATTTTTTCTAAAGTGGTTCTTGTAAAATATATTAAGAAAGACAATACTCATTTATTACAAATAACTAATTTATCTAATTTTTAACTAAATTTTATATTTAAAACTGAAGATAGTATAAAAATATTTAAAAATAATGTTTGTTATGAGTAAAAATAGAAAGAAAAATGTAATTTAAGATAATTTTACGCATATTCGTTTTCGCTTTGCTGAGTTAGTTATTGCTTGTTGGGGGAATAGTTGTTGATGTTGAAATACTCCAACAACTTCCAGTTCCCGGCGGCGAACAAACCAAAGCAAGGCAAGAAGCTCGGAGGAGTGCTATAAGTTTGGACCCAACGATTGTTTCTTCAGCTTCCAAAATGCTCGGAGCTACTGCAACTTCCACTGCATTGCGGCTTCAACCACCATTCAACTTCACCAACGGCAATTCTGTTCCCAGAATTGGCTTTCTCACAACAAGTTCAAAATCAAGACTTCAATTGAATCATCTGCATTTCTCTTTCTACAGAAGTAGCAGACAACAAACCCATTTCCATAAAGTAGCTGCGTCATCTTCATCTTCGGGTATTTGCATTTGGGCACTCAGCGTCTTTTGTATTCGCGTTTTTGTTTCTTTTTTTCTTCCAATTTTGTGAATTATTGGTTCGGTTCTTGTTCAATTGATTCTTTATATGCGCTATAAAGGGAGAAGCTGCTATTTTCTTATGAAATCCCCTTTGTACATTGAAATCGACGACAATGCCGAACTGGAAAGTCATCCTTTATAAAGAAAAATATTTTTTCCCTTGTTAAATGTAGGTATCATGGGTTATCTGACCCGAACCTTTTTTTTTTCCTTTTTCCTTAACAGAATAATATCTAACTTTATCATTATTTTTATTGGCGATGTTTGAGTGGAAAAGCTCGGAAGATCTTTTAATGGTATTGCTACAGTTCAGATTTTATACACTATTATATTGGCGATATATCTTGCTTTATCATTGTTTTCCTTGGTAACGTAAAAATGAACTTTTTACTTTGTTAAATTAGCTTCCATGGGTTATCTCGCTCAAGTTTTTTCTCCCTAAATTTAGCACCCCCTTGGTGTCTTTGAGACCAAGTGCCATTGGCAAGTATCATGTTGATTGTAAAATGTTATGATTTCTGTTGGAAATCCTTCCGCTTGCAACTTTTCAGGTGAAGTTATTCAAGGTCAATTCATACTACCAAGTACTGCCCTGTTATTTCAGTTTTTCTTTTTACCCTGGCCAGACTATTGGCAGAAATCTACGCAAGATTAGAATGACTGTTAATCATTTGTTCCTTGCATATTCATTGAATCACTAAAATTTCCAATGCTTCCATTTTTAACTTCTCCAATTTTCTTGTTGGAAGAATAGTATGCAGTGCAAAGTAATTCAAAGCTTAATTCACTGGTTCTGGATTACTATATTCTAGTTTTGATAGGGGTGGAGGTAGGAGTAGAGTTAAACTGCTATAGATTTTTCTTCTTTCTCTCTGTCTCACTAACTTATTAAAAATTGACATCTTCTGTGCTTGTAATTCATTACTGCAGCCATAAATGCAGAATATGTACAGGAACCAGCAACAAAAGTGAAATTTGAGACATCTTTGAGTTTGCCGGGTTGCTCAAATTCATTAACGCTCTTTGGAACTGGTTAGTTACTCAAACTCATTAAAGGCACGTTTGGACAGGGCAATTGAACTTTGGGGCGTTGTGACCTAGAAGTTCTTGAATTGCAGTTATACTTTATCTGCATTTTATTATCACCTAGAATTCTTGTCTTTATATGGTTAGCTCCACTGAAATGGTAAGCATTCTTGCCTTACTATTATAAGTTATGATGATTTCAGGATACAGAGAGAAGGTTTTTGCAATCGTCGGCGTCAAGGTGTATGCTGCTGGATTGTATCTAAATCAATCTATCACAAGTCAGCTGAATGCTTGGCAAGGGCAACCAGTAGATGCGATTCAAGGGAATTCTTCCTTGTTCAAAACCATTTTTCAATGTAGTGACTTCATTAATTATCAAAGTGTAATTTCCCACAATGCCCTTAATTAATTAAAGCTAGAGAAAGATTAAAGCTTACAAGGATCCCTTTGTTTGATTGCAGCTCCCTTTGAGAAATCATTACAAATTATTCTTGTCAGAGATGTTGATGGCAAAACTTTTTGGGATGCCTTAGATGATGCCATCTCTCCAAGAATTAAAGCACCAACACCAGAAGATGCTGCTGCTTTGTCCACATTCCGTAGTGTCTTTCAAAATCGTCCTCTCAAGAAAGGAACTTTCATATTTTTGACTTGGTTGGACACCTCTAAATTGCTTGTATGTGTAGCTTCAGTTTATTTCTTTTTATTTTATGTTTTGAATTTGTTGCAGAATGTCACTGAGACTTCAAATCAACTTTGAAGTCTTCTCAGTCATCACTCTTGCATTTGTGATGATACTTTAACTAGATTTCATGTGGTTTCAGGTTTTTGTCTCATTTCAAGGGCTTCCATCTGCAGCGGATGCTACAATTGAATCTGCAAATGTTGCTTCTGCACTTTTTGATGTATTTTTTGGAGATAGTCCTGTTTCTTCCACCTTGAAAGCTTCAGTGGCTGATGGCTTATCAAAAGTACTCAAGTAGAAGAAAGTATATTACATCATCAGGCATTATCATATATCCGTTGTTTGTTGAGATGATGGCTCTGTTGTTTAATGTATCCAGGTCATTTTCTATGAACAGTTTGAAACTATCAAACAAACCTTGCTAGAGATGAGTGATTGTATTGCTCATTACGCGATAATATATTGATATAATTACCAAAAAAAAAAGAACAAAACGCATTCACCTCCTGTTTCAAAACCTCCTCTGGTTACATTTTATAGGAGAACATACAAAGTTTCCAGAACGTACACTCACCCCCTCTAATTGTGAAAATAATAGGCATGGCCCATCGCTTTTATTTATCTTAAGCATAAGTTGGCCTTCTGATGATTTGTGCTGCAATAAATTAGGCTTCTTTGAGCTTCCCAGGAGGAAAAATGCAGAGTATAAGCTCCGTTAACAATTATGTCAATAGAGGGTGTTCCTGTATAAATTAAATTTTGGAGGGCGTGTCAGTTTATGTTTTATGAACAACATTCCAGGTGAACATAGTTATCTTGAGATTATGTTAGGCTGGTATGCTGATTTAGTCTTCAAGTGAACATCAGTAAGCTGTAGCAAGTTTGTCCGCCTTCGTTTGCTCAAGCAAGCTGACAACTTCTTCCATTGTTGGCCTCTTCAAGGGATCGGATTCAAGACACATCATGGCAATATTGAACAAATTGTTAACTTCTTGGATTGGACACGTCCCTAGCCTATCATCGAGAACTAGTTCCTCCTTCTTTTCTTGAACAACAGCCTTCACCTGCTCCAAAAATGACAGTAATTTATTTTACAGAAGTTATGTTGCATATGTTATGCCCTTCACAGTAGAATATATTTTCTGTTTTTTTTTCTCTTTAAAATGTCAATGTTGCATTTCTGATCAATTTGATGATTATTAAAAGCCCCTTCTAATAATTTCATGGAAAATTCAAATAGAATGGTAAACTTTCTTGTGGTGTTCAATTTACATTTATATGTAGGCATTCTCACAGTGCTAGACTTCATAGTCTGTTTGATCATTAGAATGGCCTAAATCGTTAATGAGGTTGTAAGATGTAAACTTTTCTATTAATTATAAATTACATTGAGGATATTCTAAGAGTTTTGTCTTACCCATGTGACGAGCTTCGTTCCTTCTTCCATAAATGTTTCATCACTGGGTTTTCTCCCTGTTAAAAGCTCCAGTAGTACAACTCCATAGCTGTAGACATCCCCCTTGAACGTTGCTCTTCCTGTATCGAAGTATTCTGCAGGAAAAAAGATCTTGTAAATTTTACTTTGACATGGAGGGTTGAAGCTAAGACTGATTAACTGTGTTGTATCTATACCAGGAGCCAAGTATCCAAAAGTTCCGGCCACAATTGTGGAAACGTGGGTTTTGTCAGGTTCCATCAACGTGGCTAATCCAAAATCAGAAACTCGAGCCTCCATGTTTTCGTCCAACAATATATTGCTTGACTTGATATCTCTGTGGATTATGTGAGGGATGCAATCATGGTGAAGATAAGATATTCCTCTAGCAGCTCCTATAGCTATTCTGTATCTTGATGACCAGTCTAAAGTTTTCCTCTTCTCTGGTGCTCCTGCGTCACATTCCACTTGAGATCAGAACATATCAAAGTTAATAAATTTCACTATTCATTCTTTAAGGAACCTTGGGAGGGGAAGTCTCATGAATCTTAGGCAAACTAATGACTAAGAAGTAAGAAATACTGGTCTGAATTTTCTTTATTCACAAAAATTAGTATAGATGGTGCATTCAAAGAGAGATAAAAAGAAAAAAGTGAATTAATGTAATTATAAGATGAGTCCCATGCATAGTCACATTCTCTTCTGTCATTATCTTTCTGAATGCATGAATGGAGAGGATCTAAAGGGAAGGAACACAAATAGATACCGTAGAGGAAATTATCCAAACTTCCGTTTGGCATCAACTCGTATATGAGGAGGTTGTAATATGGAGCAGTATAATATCCATGAAGAGTTACAATATTGCGGTGTTTTATGTCTGCCATTGCTTCCAGCTCTCTCTCAAATCCTTTATCTGCAGTTCCTCTGTTCAGTCTTTTCACTGCAAAAGATTTTGAGTCATCTATTTTCAGTTTATAAACCGTCCCATAACCACCACATCCAATGACCTCCATATTATTTAGGTTCATCATCTTCTTCAAGATCGTATCAGATTCAAGAGACTGCAGAACTGAAGACCTAAAGATTACTATCTTCCCACCTGTGTCATTTCATTACTGGATGTCAGCCAAAAAACATAGACATCGACATAGATACAAGACATCACACTCTAGATCTCTCACAAGAAATGGACAGTACAGTTCATTCTTTAGATTCCATGCAAATCATGGGAATACATGTCTAGTTATGTATTTGCGTCTGTTTCTGTTATGGCTTAATCTTATATATGCGTGTCTTTTTCATAGTTCATGATTTACCTGCATAGCCTTCTTCATGAATCATGTGCTTTCTTTTCCATCTTTTGTAGAGGAGGACTGAGATAATGATCTTGGATATGACAAAAGCGAGGCAGGATACCGTGATGTAAATGCCTAAAAGCAAAGACTTGCTCATTTGGTTCTACTAACTGGCTCTGAATTTTGAAGAACCTGAAGGTGTACTCTGAAATTATCGCGGTATAAGATGTTCAGTTGAGGAAGACCTCAAGGACAACATAAAAATTCAAGATACCTAAGACAAACTCTCAAATGAGGATTCGGTTTTTGTTAAAAGATCAAGGGCATTTGATGGTTCTAAGAACTTGTCTCAGAGATTTCTGGAATGGTAGAAGAAGCAAAAAGGAGAGGTAGTATCGCGTAGTTCACATTGAGCTCTGCTGAAGTGAACTGAAATTTTCAATATATAAGTCGCAGGATTTAATTTATGAAGCATGGGCGTTAATTGAGGCGTTGAAAAGCGTGGGAAAGTTCATCATTTTGTTGCATGAAAAACCTGCAGGCCCATCCCTGAACGTGTGAAAACGAAGTTTATGACCAAAAAGAATAAAGCGCACCACATGCTGCTAGGTGGACAAAATCAAGATGTATAGGTAACTTCTGCGCTTTATACACAGGATCAGATTTTTATATCCACATAAAAATGGATAATTTACATTAATCATAACTATATATTTATATAATTTTAATTTTACTTATGTACTTGTACATCCAATATATATTTGTTATAGTTATAATTAGTGAAATTGATTTTTGCTTAAATTAGTTGGTAGATGAAGTCATGTCCATGTATATAGTCTAGTGACATGAAAATCCTTCTTAAAACAGAGAAGGTTATCGATTTTATTTTGTTGGATAATCAAACTCGTGCATCACAATGGGCATAGTGTCATTGAGCCAGAAAACTTTGACTAATCGAATCTATATTTCACATATGAATTAGATGTGGTAATTTCATGACTTCTTTTATATTTGTGATGATTTGACCTATCATGCCATCTTGCATGGAAGACAAGTCCATGTTTGCATTTGTGTTTGCCCACGATACGACGTCAATACAAACATACCCTTATTGTCCCCTCTCTGTATATACTCAAGTTGTTTGAAACCTAAGTTGTGCAATAATGGAATTTAGGGGGTATTTGGATAAAAACTAAATCATGGTTTTAAAAGTATTTTATAATATAAGAAGTAAATATGTAAGAAAAGTTTATCTCAACTTACATAAAAATACTTTTGAGGCAACCAAGCATCCCAGAGTGTTTAAAAAACCATGATTACATGCATGTAGAGAAGTTAAGACTAAACAAGAAAATATATAATTTTAGCCAAAATTTGTTTTTTAAAAAACCCCAAATACTACCTCCGATCCTAATTATAAGAGCTAGTTGACTAATTTGAGGAAATTAAGAAAAAAGTTAAATTAGTTATTTGTAATAAATACGTATTGTTTTTCCTAAAATATCTTTGCTAATTAAGTATATTGGTTAGTTAGAACTATCATTATTAGAAGGATTACCTTAAGAAAAAAATATAAATGTAAGAAACAAAGTGGATTGAGATCTTATATTTAGAATCAAAATAAAATTCAAACTAAAGTCTTATATTAAAGACCGGAGGGTAGTATAAGTTTCCTCAATAAATACAATTCTTCTTCAATTACGTGTAATATATATTTAACTATATGTAAAACGGAAAGCACATAGATGAAAAAAATTACACCCATCAACGACTTGGCTCACTGGTTGCCAGGCAATAAATTTTACAATGGAAAACTTTTCAGCAATTTTCCACTTTTAATATTAAGAAAAGTAATTATTTATGTTTTATGTTTGAAAAGTGTCAGTTTTTTATGGATGGGTGAGTGATGAAGTGGACAAAAGCTGTCAAATATCGCGTGGGCCACATATGGAGAAACTTCGACCTTTTGTTTTTGGGGTGGTGTCGTCAGACACATGAGATAACCTTCTTTATGGAGGGAGTTGCATAATGTGAATGGGTTTTATCAAATC